ATGGAAAGCGTCATACGGTCACACTGGCATGGGAGCTTTGGCGAACGGATCGGGTCCAAGGCGCTTTCGACACATTCTTTTTAGGTCGACCAAGATGAGTGGGTGGATCAAGATTCTGAAAATATTCCATTTGGCTGTGGGTCAAACCCAAGGGGATTTCATTTTGGGGTAAGTGAATTCACCACCCATTTTAGAACCTATTTTAGTGTGGATTGGGATGTTCACTGGAGGTACGGGATTTTGACCCATGGCCATTTAGGCCCCCCCGCTTTGACCATGGGTAACTTTTCCTGTGTGGAAATTATCATCTTTCTTTGCAAAGGACCTTTTGATCAAGCCTTACATCAAGCATTGAAGGTTGGCTTGCCACCCGATGCTGAGAGAGGCAGAAGCCAAGGTTGGAATCCCCAACTTCCTTTCGGAGAAGGAGCCCGGTAGCCCAGGGAACAGCTACCATGCTTCCTTTTTGCTGCATTTTTGCTCTCCTAGTCAAGCACAATCTATGAAAGCAGGAATCCGACACCTAGGCCCCTGAACCTAAACGGAGCCTGAGACTCTGAAGCCTGGACTGAAGGCGAGTGGTCATGCCTAGGATGCTCCTAGGCACATCAGGATTTTGGGGCCTCAAGGCCAGTCATTCGTGCAACCCTCCAGATTAGGGTCATGTTTTTCGTGGCTCATTCTTGTTGCGACCGCTTGGCAGCTTTTTGTTCACCTTTGTGGCTCAGCCTCGGAACATGCGAGCCGCTCGTCTCCCCAAAACGATCCGGACAAGCCCAGACCCCAAAAACACGCGCTGTGTCAAAGCAAAAGATTCCGGCAGACTCTGCTATTTGGTTTCTAACTATAGAACCAAATCTCCCAGGAAGGCACATCACCTTGAACATAATTTTCAAGCCGGGATTCCATGTAAACTCGAAAATGAAATCCTCTTTAATAAACATTTTTCTATCATAGCTGAAGCTAGAGATTCTGCTGGCATTCTTTCCTTAGTAAATGCAATTTAAATGCGAATGAACATATTTAATAAACCATGCTGGGACAGGACCCTGTAAAGTCCAATTTGAAGCAATGATTCTACTTAACGTCCAAGTGAAATCCTGGTCACAAAGAGCATCATACTGAAATTATTATTGAATCTAGACAGTCTACTAGAATTTGTAATCACCTTTGAAATGTAACTAGAAATATGAATTCTAATTAACATATACTTGAGATCATCTTGAAAAGGACATGCAGTCGAATTCTAGTTAAAAGTAGACATTATAGCAAACAAACTCTATTTTGATACTAATGACAATAAACAGAAAATCCTGGGCAGGACATCACCTTAAAGGTCTCATTTGAAAGAAGGAATCTACTCAAAAACCGAATTGAAAACTGTTTAGCAAGGAACTCCTAGTTAAATTCTATTTGAAGCTAGACTTTCTACTAGAATGCTGTCTTTATTAAAGGTGCATTTAAAACATGACAATCCTCCTGAATCGCAACGGATCAGTATTGTTGAAGCAGCGCATTCCGATTATTGATATCGAAGTGGATGCAGTATTGTTCAATCAGAGCTGCCAAATGATTCAACTCAGGGATTGATAGCAGGCGGTGTTGAAGCAGACTTGCCAGATGATGCAAAACCAAGTTGACGAGCAAGTATCATTGGACAACCTTCTTTGTAGAAATCCCAACGACCACTCTCTGAAAAAAGAGCGTCCCGATCTGTTCTTGGAGCAGGGCTCACGATGTTTCGCTTGGGTTTCAGCACCCAAAAAGACCCCATTCAATCCGAGTTTCCTTGGCAACGGGGGAGGTTTCCCGGGTTCCCGGCGGTTCTTCCCTGGCCTTCAAACAACAACCGCCCCGAGTTTCCCAACTTCCCCGAGCCAAACCCCGGGACCTCTGAGGTGCCGAAAGATCATCGACTTTGCGGAGGCCCAGGGCTTCAAGCTGCAGAACCGGCACCGGGCCGGAGCTCTCAACCGATCTTCGGCTCGGGCTCGGCTCCATATTTTTTTCTTCTTCTTTTTTCTCCTCTCTGTCTTTCTTCCTGATGGAAGGTAACGTTTTTGTGGCGTGCTTGTTTTTGTTTTTGTTTTTCTTTTTAAGGGAGAGACCAAAGGGAAAGCCACCCTTCTGGGAGTGCCCTGTTTTAACGCGCACACACACACACACAAAGGGGGGGGGAAAAGAAAGCATGGTCACTCCTTTGTGTGTTGTGTATGTGTGTGTGTGTGTGTGTGCTGGGAATTGAACGGGGGAATTTGGGGGGTGCTTTGTGTGGCTGTGTGTTTTGGCTTGGTTTGTGCAGTGTGTTTGCTTGCTGGCTTCTTCGGTTTGTTCGTCTTAATGTTGTTTTGTTAGTTTGCTTGTTGCCCACATTCTTGCGCGGGGTTCTTGCTTCTCCGCACTCTCGCCCCTCCCGTTCGCTCCTCCTCCTCTTCCTCCTCCACCGCCTCCTCTCCCGCTTACGCAACTTACGCACACAGCCCCCATGGATTGCCTGCGCCCCGAACCTGACGCCAGCAGCTACACCCTAAATCTAAAGCCTTCACCCGGAACAGCAATCCCAAACCCAACGCCAAGACCTATACCCTAAACCTGAACCTAACGGAAAGCTAACACTCTAAACCTAAAACCCAATTCAATACCTAAATCCTAAGCCCACACCCCAAACCTTAAACCTAAACCCTAAAGCGAAACCTAAACCCAAAAGTGAAACCGAAGCCTGAAACCGAGCCCTACCTTGAACTTGAATGCCAAAGCTTATCCAAAACCTTGCCCCATCGCGGTCCACGGCGCCACTCTATGAACAGAACGCTGCGCTCGGCGCCGGCCAAGTATGGCAGCTACTTGACTAAAAGTGGCCACGATTGGGCCGGGTACTGCTTGTAGTCGTATGAGGGGGGCAGTATGAGGGGTGCCGGCAAACCACGGGGGCTGTGGGCAACTTTAGACTGGTCTGCGTGGAGCAGTCGGCTTTGAGCGCCTTTGTGTTTTGATACCCGTTCCAAGCCAGAGATGGCGTTGCCCCCGCTGCCTTCAGGGGCCTGCATGTCTGGAAAGACAGAGCGCGCGAATTCCCTCTTCATAGAGCACAAAGCTCCGATCCCTCGACCGCAAAGTGTGGCGGAATCATCTTGGACAATGTGCGGGCCCTTGTGTTTCTGATTGAACACTATGAGAAATACTTCTCTTGTTGCAACCATGAACCTGACCAGTGAGGCAGACAGCTGAGAAACCCCTCAATCTGGTCCGATCTCACACGCGGACTGCGCTTAATGTGCGCGTCCAGATAGATAAGAGAGCGCTGGCCTCATGTTAGCAGATGAAGCGAGAGATGTCTTCGGTTTGCGTGGCGATGTAGCTCGGCGCAGCCTGGTGCCTGGGAGGCGACAGAAGCTTTGCTCAGAGGCGTGCTTGCTATGGGAGGGGAGGGGCATTGTGGCCCCGCAAGTGTTGCCCTATTGTTTTGCGCTGCAGCGTTCAGCTGAGTCATTGTCTAATGGGGTCTGCGCCGCTGGCCTTCACAGTCGGCGCTTGGCTGGCTATGATTTTCTCCGATCGGTTTAGCTGCGTCAATGCTCGAAGGATCGCCAGGGCATGACCTGTGTTGCGTCGCCCCTTTGCGCGGGGAGCTGCCGCGTGGCTTTATTTGTCGAAGCAGATGGCGCCACGTGGATCATCGCAGGGCGGACTCCTGGTCGCAGTGGTTCAACGTGGTCCTCGCGCGCATGGTGTGCGTGGATGAGGCTGACGTCCCAATAACAAGCAGCTTCTCCTTCTTTGCGCTTACTGTATTTTGGTTTCCATTTTGTCGCATCCACTCAGCGTTGGAGCAATTTTCACTGGACCCAGGGTGCGCTTCTCTGCTCATCACTCTTCTCTCAGCTTCGTTGCGAGAAACCATGCTAGCAATCAGGCCGATCCTCACATGCACTTGTAAAGTGTCTTAGAAGTTTCTGCTTTCCCTGCAAAAGTAAGTCGTAGTTGTATAGGGCTCATATCTTTGTATTCCACTGCAACTGGTGACTTGAGGGTAGTAGACATCATTTCTCTCGGAATGCTTTTCTGGGTGTTGTGATGGCCTAGCTGCACTTCTGGGGCTGAGGTACTGAACATGATGTGGGCAGACCTGATCGACCCCTTCTTGTCCGAAGCCCTTTGGGAGCGTGCGGCCAAGAGGGATGGGCTCGGAGATTGCGAATCAGTGAAGATAGGACATTACGTCCTGGCAGCGGGTGCGTGGTGTATTGTCTCGCGCTTCCACGTTGATCTACTCCGCTTTACGGTTTTCTACGAAACCCGACAAAAGGGGTTGGCAGGAAGGGTGGCCAAGTTGGGGATGCCAAAGCAAAACTTGAAGAATTGGCAGCAGCTAGTAGAAGTTGGCCCCTGTTGTACCGGGGGTTACAGGTTTGATGGCCAAGATATCGTTCCATGTGAGCAGCTAACTGACCGTCTATTAGTCTATGGTTAGACTGGGGAGGCGGATTTTCTTGCCAGGGCCGCTCATCTTTCTCGAAACGCGCACACCTCGCATGCAACGAGCTTCCGCCGCGCAGCTGTTGTTAGATCAATGGTTTCCTTAAGTCGAGGCCAAAGAGGGCGCGCCTTGTCCGACGACATGTGCTCCATGGAAACAAAAACACCAAACACATGCAACGAAAGGAGGAGAGCAACCACAAAATCCAAGGACACCCAAGTTGCTTCAGTTGGCCGGGAGTAACAATAATTTCAGCGAAATCAGATCAAAATTGTCAGGCAACTTGGACCAATCTTAGTCCTGGTCATCAAGCACATTGCCGAACACCGATCTGGACACCTCATGCGGCAAAGCTACTTCCGAGCACTTGGGGCCTTCTGGTGTTTCGTGCGCACCGAAATTCTTCAGCTCCGGAGCCGTTCCATCACTGCAAAGTTGGAAACCAGAAAACCAGAAACCAAAAACCCGTTCCATCTCTCGTTTTGGGTTTTGGGCTACACATGAGAGCCCACAAAGCCCAGCACCTCGCCTCCCTCCAAAAGTGGCTGGCCTTTCTCCTCTTTTCGGCCATGGACTTGGAGAAGCCAAGGCAGCCGGCCACCTTGGAGCTGCCCCTGGGATTTCTGCGGCTTCTCAAATGCCCAAGGATCCCGGATCCCCCCCCCAAAAATCCGTGAGTTGGTAACCAGGTAACCAGCTTACCTACCATTTCTTGATCGACCATGGGGGAATCAGCTGCGCTGGAAGTCAGGACAATCGGGGCCTGGCATAGGACCAAGGACGAATGGCAGCTCCGTCCGGCACGAACTCGGACGCACTGCCAATGGGAGCCTTCAGCAAGGCTCCACACGGGGGCAGCCAAGTTGAGATATCAACCAATCGTTCGGTTTTCTCAGCCGCGTTGCGTTGGCAACCCTTTGGTGTATAGTTGTTTTAGATGTGGCATCAACCAAGGGAGCACAAGCTTGGATGTGTGTGCCAACCAGTGCAATGGTCAAACACATTTTTGCAGAGGAGTTCGGATCACCATGCAGTGAGTGTCAGCCAAGGTTGCTGGGAAACAAGAGCAGCGACTCTGGCGTCACCGAGCTCGTAGGCGCGCACGATGTCATGAGAGAAGGACTTCTTGGGGATGTTTTTGAGAGAGCGCCTCCCCCTACTCGTGGTTGCTTGAGTAGCATCAATCAAAGCTGCACCAGACGAGTGGTTCTGAGCGACTGGACAGAGTGATCAAAGTCACAGGCCTCCTGCACACTGCCAGACGCACTGCCAGACGCACTGCCAGACGCACTGCCAGACAATGCTGCTCCTAATACGGTCGGCACTTGGTGCAAAGAGACGCACAAATAATTTCAGTTATTCAGCTCGAGGTTACTTGTTGCAGTGTGCTGGCTGGTTGGTTTAACTTCAATTGAATGTATTGTCCTTCACATGCTTGTTCCCGCGGATCCTGCAGACTGAAAGTTTATGACTCCTGCTGCCTCCTGCAGTCTCTTAGCGAAGCAGCACTTTTGCCAGGAAAGCAGTCAATAGATGACGGCCACTGTTACTCCTTCAGCAACGGGGAGCCCTCCGTTTTGCTTTGTGTAAGACAGTGTTCATGAAAGAAAGCCAAAAGGCCACCATTCGAAGTAGGTCCCCAAAACCTTTGGCTACTCTTTCCGACTTTTGCCAAGCGTTTTGGCCACGTTCACTTCGCAACTACTCAGCTTGACACTTGGAAGGCCCCCTTGGGATCGCATTGAACGCCAACTCTCCGCAATTTGGGTGTGGCTCAAAAGCAAATCGGAGTCAGGGTGACGCAGGTGGTCTTTGTTTTTTCATATACCTTTTGGGCCATTTTGGGATTCCATTTTTTGAGCCCACACACACACACACATTTTTGGGATCCCATTTTTGGGATTCCATTTTTTTGGGGATTCCATAATACCGCTTGTGCCACTTTCGGGAGTCATATTTTTGAGCCAGCCGTTTCTCGTCGCTCTTGTCAGGGGTGGGGCTGCTGTGGTTCTCCGGGTCCTGGGTGTTGCTGCAGAAGGGGGCGGCCTTCGGGGCCCTGTTCGCGCACCAAGTGGCCGGCAGCCCGAAGTGGCGCCCGCTGGCGCCGCTTGGAACGACAGCTGGCGGGGGTTGGGCGGCCTTTGCGGAAGGGGCACGCCTGTGGGGTTTTGTGAGGTGGGCGCTTTTGGAAATGGGGGGGTTTAAAGTAGGTTTAAAGGGAAGCTTGAAGGCAAACCACAATTTGGAGATACTTTGGCCGAAGCTACAAAGGTTTTTGCAATGGGGGTTCTTAGGGTTCAGAGAACCTCTCCAGTGCCCCAAGCGTCTCAAGGTGTTTCCAATAGGACTCCGCGAGGCGGGGCTTGGTGGCCATGATGGGTCTTCGGAGCTTGGCGGTTGCCGTGGCTTGAGGCCAACTCAAGTGGACTCAACTTTTGGACAAATTTTCCATTTAAAGGAAATTCGAAGCCATTTCTTAAGGTGCGCATGTGGGTTTCGTCCCCCATTTCTTTTTTCTTCTGAAGGTTGAAGTACCCGGTGCTGGTGCTGCTGCACTGCCTGGTGGTGGATTTGAGCGCGTGGCTGCAGCGCCGCCTGGCCCGGAAGTGGCGCCAGAACATCACCAGGAAGCTGCACAGGCGGCGGGGATGGGATTGGCAGGGATCGGCAGGGGGAGGGGGAGGGGGGGGAGGGGGGGTTGGGGGGTTGGGGGGTTGGTTGGGGGGTGGTTGGGGGGGTGTGGGGAATGGTTCCAGGCCAAGGCCGTTTTTTGGTGGGGGGGAGGGCTGGAGGGGAGGGGATCTGCCAGAACTGGAGGGAGGTTCGGAACTTAGGACGAATCAACTCCTGGTCGACTCGCAGAGTGGGAAGCACATCTATTCATCCGTCAGGTGAGTCAAGCAGGGATACATTTGGGTAGTCTCCTTTGTCGTGTTTGAGGTTTTACTGATATTTTTTTGTGTGGGGTGGGCGAGCGGCACAGGATGTACTTCGAGAAGCAGAACTTCTATCGCCTACAGGCGGCCCGGACGTTGACATCACAAGGTTCACGGGGAAAAGGAAGTCAGTCCCCGGAGTTCGTTTTTGCAAGCAAACATCTGCCAATTGGAACCTTGGTTTGGTCAAGCAGAGAGCAACATTAACATGGCAAGCCAGCCAGGGGTTGTGACAACGCATACCGCCGCATTTTTCAACAATGCCGGGCGGCTGAAAACCAAGCATAGTGGGAAGGGGTAAATCCGTGTGCTACCGATACACCCGTATGGACATGTCTCAACATTTGGCGCCCAATTTCCCTTTTGGTTTCTTTTATGGAACAACCCGAGGCGGGTTCCTTGTGTGAAAGCACCATACGAGCAATTGACCATATCATTGGCAGTTCTTGGCGATTTGCGAGGACATGCAGGGTCCACGCATCGTGAACATTCAAAGGGACAGGGAGACCACCTAACTTTTTTGCTCGTGATTTCCGGAAGCAACACCTGCTGGCCATGGATAATGCAAAGCTTTTGTCGCCCATGATTCTTGAAGGTCCATGTGGCCGTTTTTTTGGGTACCCTTTTCAGGCTGGTGAAGGAAAATCAAAGGGAAAAACGCCAATTAATTTGAGTCGCCCTACAGATACTCAATGTGAAATTTGCCAATGCATCAAATTGGCTTGACCCCTCCGAATGGCAGCCTTCATTTTCGTTTTCTCACAAATGTCAACAAATGGCTGGTCCCAGGGTTGCTTTCTCCAAGGGCACGAACAATGGCGCCTTTTTCGTTGCGTTCTTCTTCGGATGGTGGGCTTTTCGGTGGGGTTTCTTCACCGAACAAGGGTTCATGAAGTTCATGCTGGTTTCTCCACCTGGAGCTCACGCTGTGTGGCTTTCGTGTTTTTTCTTTGCTTTTTGGCTCCGAAAGTAGGACCAAGCACTCCCTTGCACATGAGCAAAGCGTTCATTTTCTGGGATTCTTTCCCCCATTCTAGGGGACGCTTCCATTTCCCTTCTTTCCAGGGATGCTTCTTTCTGAAAAACCACCCAACACCCCAGGGGAAACAGCGATCGGTTTCTAAAAAGAACGATGGTTGGAAAGAATGGACAAGGAATCCTTCCTTCTAGAAAACCTCCGGAAACCCAGGGAAACGGCCGGTTTTCGAAAGAACGATGGTTGAAAAGAATGGACAAGGAATCAACCCCTAGAAAGTTGAAACCCATGGCCTCCATTTGCTGAAATGACGATGTTCTATTTTGCTTTGTTGGCTTCTTGGAATCTCAGAACCCCACATAAACAGCGATCGGATTTTCCAAAACCATGCTTGAAAAGAATGGACCAGGAATCAACCCCAAGTTTTTTTCTTGGGGGGGAGAATGGCCTCCTACCATTTGGGGGGTCTCAAAACTGCTTCCCGCCCCCGCCCCGCCCTCGTTACGACTTCGCCGTCGCCTCGTTTTCATCTCGGAGGCGGAGCCGCGGGAGGCGGTCATCCTGGACGCGGACGTGCGCATCTGCCGGGACGTGCACGAGATGGCCCACGCCACTGCGGAGGCGTCGGCCAAGGGGGGGAAGGACGGAAGGACGGGGGGGGGGGGGAAAAAGAGATGCCGAAAGACCGGAAGGTTTTTTCAGTTTTCGGTTTTTCATTTTTTTTTGTTAAGATAACAGGGGGGGGGTCTAACTTTGGGTCCTAAAAGTGATCGAAGCTTGAGGGTGCCGATCTGAAAGTTTCTTTGGGACCCGCTGGGAGTGACATGTTCATCACCGTTTAGAAGACCATTTTCAGGATGTTTTACCAGGTTTGGCTAAAACTGGGTATGATTTTTGCCCTGAATGAATCTGAAGAACATCAGTGGTCTACGCTTGTTTGGACAAATCCATGGTGGCGGACATGATTTACTTTGGACTTGTGCCCACCAACCATGAGGCCCGTTTCAGGCAGAGGGAAGGACTCGATTGGTTTTGGTCACCGCTTCCAATGGTCTCACGGTGGGTCCCAGCCCCGTTGAGAGCCAGATGATTGGGACGGCTTTTTTCTTTTTGGTTCGGTTTTCATTTGAATCCACGAAAAGGGAACCCTCAAAAAAGACAGCCTCAGATTGAGCTAACGTTATATGTCTTTCTGGGTCCAAGTCTGACGAATGGTTGGTGGATATCAGTCCAATGATGCCAAGGATTGCCAATCACAAACACATGGATGTGTCTTTTTTGTGGGTACCCTTTTTGAGGTGGGTTTAAAGTGACAACACAAGTACAACCACCATTTTGCGGGTACCCTAAAGAAAGACACACCCATATGGGGAACCCCCTTTCTGTCCAGTTTGACAGTGGTGGCTTTCTTTTGTTAAGACTCACAATTGATTGTTTTCCTTCTTTCACCCAACGCACCCCGAGAAATGCTGGAGGGTGAGAAGGCCAAAGGTGTGCTCCTTCTCGGCAAATGTAGGCCGACCCGATCCCGGAAAGAAAACCAGCTGATGGTGTACTTTGGCATACCCTGAAAAACCGGGGTGTGAACGATCATCGATGTTAGTCAGCTTGGTTTGACCATGGCTTGGGACGGTTGAAGGCGATCCAGGAACCATCCTCTCCCAACCATGAAGGCCTAACTTGGCCTTATGTGGCTTTATTTCGTCCAACAAATTAACCGTTCGGGGGGTTGGTAGGGTGGGGTGGTGCAGGGTTCCCTATATTTTCCTTTTGGTGGTTTTGAACATCACTCTTTGGCCCAATGTTAAGGGAGTTTCCTTTTGGTTGGACATATGAGCGGTTTCCGTGTTGGGTTCCCTTTGAAGCCAGCCCAAGAAGGGTACCGAACCTCTATCAGAGCCCCATTTTTCTTGCTGGTTCGACAAGGGAATGTTGGAGATTGACCGACCCCCTATCAACAGTCCATCCTAAGGTTTCCTTTGAGGGAACCCCCCAACACCGGTTCATTCCGCGAATTCCCGGGCTGGGGCCTGTGCGCCTCCGATCTCCTGTCAGGTGGCCGTGGCGGTGATGGAGGCGTTGATGAAGACTTTGGTCTTCGGCGCCTCGACGCTGTTCCAAAGGAACGGCGCGGTGAGGCTCTGGGGGCTCTGCCCCCCCGCAGTCTTCCTGGTGGCGGTGAAGGCGACGTGGGACAGAGGGAGATTTTGGAGGGATCTCGGGGATTTTTTGGGACTTTGGGCGCACACACACACGAACCTGTGTAGATTCAGCTTGCCCCCCCCCCATTACCTCCCCCTCCAGAGTGGGTTGGGATCCCTGGTGGTTAAGGCTGGTCAAGGGTTGGTTTGGTTTAGTGGTTTTTTAGGATTTCTTCTGTTGGTTCCCATGGGCTAGGGCTTAGGAGCTTACTTTGTGATTGGCTAAGGATGGGCTAGGGGTGGGTTTGGAATAGTGGGTCTAGACTTTGTTTGAGTTGGTTTCGGGTTGGCTTGGGCTCAGTTGGGTGTTCTAGTTTTGGCATGTTCCAGGGCTTGTTCAGAAGGGTAACCTGAGGGTGGTTTCGAGGTTGAAGGAAAGCTGGGTTTGTTTGAAAGCTGGTGTAGAGGGTTGCGCGGGTCCGGAGAAGAACAATGGGCTGCGGATAGGCTGATGCTGGGGATGCTGGAGATGCCGGGGATGCTGAGGGTGACTTAGAGCAAAGGTGCGCGAAACAATATGTATACCGTCACACTCCTATGCTTGCCATGTGGGCAAGCAGTCTTTTGATGCCGAAGTGGTTTATGAGCATGATAATGTTCTTGTCCAGAGGCGAGACTCTTGTTGTGATAATATAGATGTTCTTGTCCGGAGGCACTTGAGCAGGGGTTTTTGTTATCTGCAGGCGCACAAATTGTCTTGTCCGGAGGCACTTGAGTAAGGGTTCTTGTTGTCAGCGATCATGTACAAATGCTTGTCAGAAGCACCTTGGTATGGTTCTTTTATCTGCTTTTGATGGTTCCGTGCTGTTCCAATAGGGCTGGCTGAAACATGCCAAACACCAATCACTTGCAATTGCGCGCATATTCCGGAATTTCCGCTCAAGCAAGCAAATAAGCAGACACAATGCAATACAGTAATTAGTTCTTCCAGGTAGATTCTTGTCCGGATTTGCTTGAGCGAGTTCTTGCTATCTGCAGGCATCTACATACTATTGGCCGAAGGTGCTGCTTGCGAGCGTGCAGAGAAGCCCAGATTCTGCTGCACATGCCATGATATCAGAAGACGTCTGACAACACGTCACATGTCTTGGTGTTGCACATGCTATCAAGCACGGGCAGAACCACAGCGATTCAGCGTTTTGACACTTTCTGTCTATGCTCCTTTTTCAATTTTCCATATATATATATATATTTATATATATAATGCATACATGTACTCATATGCATGTATACAACTATACAAATGTATGGAGCTGGTTTTCCTTTGACACAATTCTTGGTTGAGCTTGCTTCCATTGGGCGTTGCCTGGTTCCATTGCCTGGTTCCATTTCTCCTTTGGCACCGACCAAACAATGGTTGCAGTTCCTCCAATTTTGCTTTGGCCCCCCCAAACAAATATATAAATATATATATATAAAGAAGAATCCACACGGGATCAGGAGTTTTGGTGGATATGTCCTTGACTTCCCCCCCCACAAAGACCAGCAAATGCGGGGGGGGGGGGGGGTCCTTTTGGTTTTCCATGTAAGCTACCCTGAGAAAAAGGGTCAGGCTGAGCACCTCTTTTGCGCACAAAAAAGAAAAAAGGAAATCCGTCCGCAGGTGGTGCTGGGCACGCATCCCTCCGACGGGAAGACGGTGCAAACCTCTTTGCAGCACTTCGAGGGCCGGCTGAAGCAGCACTTCCTGCGGCTGCAGACCCGGGCCAGGTGGACCGAAAAAAGCGCAAAAACCCGGAGCGATGGGGGTGTGTCAAACCTGGGTGTGTCATGTTTTAGGATTTGGACCCGACATGGCGATCAATTCCTCTTGAAGCAACAAAAAGGGGTAACACCCAAATAGGCGCCTGGCTGGCAGAGGGTTTGCGTATAAAAAGACCTCCTGCATGGGGTTTGCCGGGTGTGAAACCCTATTTGGAAGTAAATAGAGGTGGCCGATTGTATCTTTAGGAACATATTTCGTAAAAATAGCTTCAGAATGATTTTAGCAGGGGTCTGCTGGGTAAGGTTGACCCCAGATCCCAGCAGAACTGGGGCGAATGGGCGAATGGGTTTAGATTGGTGGGATTTGAGCCTATTTGCTGCAACCTCACACCTCTCCCAAACCTTTAATTTCAGCGAAGCTGGGGCAAAGTGCTGTTTAAAGGGCGGTTTTTCCTTTCCTCCAACCACCCTGCCTGGAGGAGCATCCTGATGATCCAGGGTGAACCCTTTGAGCTGGATTTGCTGCAGAAGGCCCTGCGGGACATGGCCACCATGGCCAGGACGGACGGGCCCCCGTCAGCCCCAACCCGGGAAGGGCACGGCGAAAACGAGTTGGCGCCAAAAAAAGTGAGAGATGCGGGAGGCTTTTCCCGAATGTGCGAAGGGTTCCGGTTGAAGGGGTCTGGGGGTAAGGACGTGTTTGCGAGATCGTGTCCTTACGGCCACAAGCGTTCGCCAGCGTTTGCGTGTGGACGAAGCTGGGAAATGCGGCGTGTTTGTGAACCTTGAAGCGCTGAGTTCGTGGCGCCTGTGCAAGTCCTGTCTTTGCAACGTTGCTCGTCGTTTCGCAATGCAGGCGTTGTTTGGACAGTCGCCTTGCTTGGCAACCGCGAGGAAGGGTGTGCTCTAGGGTCATTTTTGTTTGCCCTGTCGTACAATCGGCTTTTTGTTCGAACCATTGTGGCGCCGCAGTCCTGTGCTAGTTATGGACGCATGTCGTAAACATGTTAAAGTTGGATTTCGTGACAGGCACTGAACTTTGGATTCGTGGCAAGCTCACTTTGCCTGACAGGCGCAGCACTTTAAAGCTTTTTGTTCCAATTTCGCGGCAGGCGCAGCGCTTTCGAGCTTTTCGTGCAAACATCGTGGCAGTCACAGTACTTTTGCGGTTGGGTGTAGATTTCGTCCGATTTCGTGCAGCCGCGGTGCTTTGGAGCGGCGCGCGCAGATCTCGTGGCAGGCGCAGCACTTTGCAGCTTGGCGTGCAGTTTTTGCACGTAGATGTCGTTGCAGGCGGTGACCTTTGGAGCGGGACTCGCGAATTCCCTGGCAGGTGCAGTAGTTTGGATCTTGCTCGTGGCAGGCGCCGTGCTTGGGAGCTTGGCGCAGACTTTGTGGGAGGCGCAGCAGCTTGGAGCTTGTCGTGCAGATGTCGCGGGAGATTCACGTAAAGCGTGGGAATTGCGAGAAACACGTTGCAAGACGGGATGGGAAACCTGACTGCTGATGTAACAAGAGACGCGACGCACGTCGTGATGACACGTGCGATGAGATATATCACGGGGATGTGGCAAGGGACGTGAGAAGAAGCGTGACGGAATGCGTGACGAGGGTCGTCACGTAAGATGTGGCGGAGAGACGTGATGGCGTGTTTGATGTGTGACGGGTGTTGTGGTGGAAGACGTGAGGCGAGAGGAGGGACGAAAGGTGTGACAGGAGACGCGCCGAGGTACGTGACGAGAGATAGGAGGAGAGGCGATGACGATGGACATGAGGAGACACGTAAGACAGACGTGATGCGAAACGCAAAGTGAGACGCGTCGAGAGACGTTGCCAAAGACGTGACGCAAGACGCGACTAGAATCGTTGAAGACATGACAGGCGTGACGAAATACTTGAGAGAGCCACGACCAAAGACGTGATGGAGAGGTGATGGGTTCTTACTAAGCACATTCAGAAAGTGAATTCCATTCGGCTTCGCACATTTTTGTCAGTTTTTTTGTTGGCGCCCCAAAGTGCCCTGACATCTTTGGGATGTTGACCAATCAGCTAGGAAGCTCTACGACGTGATGTTCGGCCTGGAGATGACTGAGTGGATGATCCTCCACACCACCCAGGTTGGATGGAGAGTGGCGGGAAAAGGTGGAAGTGGAGGAACAGAGGTTGAAATGGATCCACTTTGGGTCCCGTCACGCCCTTTTGCAGCCTTTTTCCAGAGGGTTGAATCGCTGGCCGAAATTGCTAAAAATGAAAACTATCGTATTGCCTGTCCCTTTTCAAAATGCAAAATAAGATTTGTTGTGGCGATCTGACAGTTTCCGAACCTGGCAGGCTTGTCTGCCTTCATCATGCTGCAGCTCATGTGTGTACTAGATTGGGTGCGCACACTGGTGTCAAAGTGTGTTTACCTCGATTGTTTAGCGCGCAGCCCACACACGAGCACACGCGCACATACATACCCACACACACACAATCAATGCTACATGATTGAACAAACCCGCCGATCATCATGAAACGTATGCAGGTTGGACAACACTGCCGATTGGAAACAGGCGCCTTTCAATCGTGCTGCTTTGCAGCTTCTTTTGTCAGACGTCTCGTGGCAGTCTTGATGAAAAGGAGATATTACATGTCCAGGGGAGAAGCGAGCAAAATACCCAAGGCAGCCTCAACAGCACTCCAAAGGAAAAACCAGGGCGTTTTGGAGGGTCTTTTACATTTTGAAGCAAATCCGCCCAAACACCCCTGACTGTTGAACCGGTAGGCAGCTTCCTTGCTGGAGCTGGCTGCCTTTACATCCGCGGCGCTTCTGGGAATGCGCAGCATTTCCGAGCCAGCGGGGCCGCAAGAGGCTGGCGAGGGCGGGACGGATGTTGGCCCGGATTTAGTTGCCACACTGGTCAAGCGACCGGTTCCTTTGCTCGGGATTGGTAGGGATGGTCCTTTTATCGGTTTTAGGTTTAGGGCCATGGCACGCTTGAAGTTCGGCCAGATTCATTTAGTCTATCATCTTGGGCTTCGGGACACATTGAGATTGTTGTGATTATAAGTTATCATTATTGTTTTACCCAGAACCTTTTCCAGAACCGAGTCCTAGGTTTGGCGCAGACATATGATCCTAGTTTTGTTGATGTGGCATTGCAGGCCCCTAAATCTAACCTACCAGTTGCGAGGGAGTGAGGCTGTGCTTAGGACTTGAGATTTGAGGTTCGCTTTTCGCCTGGAGCAAATCGCGTTTTCTCTTGACCTGAAAACGGCCACGACTTTTTCCGGACCAGAATGGCTGGTTCAGCCTGTTGCTGGCATAGGTGTCCTGTCGCTGGCATAGGTGTCCTTTTTGGAATATTTGGTTGAAAAATAGAGGGCGATTCCTGGTTTACCTGGTGGTTCAATCAACTACCAGGGCCATCTAATTTTCCAAAAAGGACACCTATGGTCGCTGGTTTGATTTTTTCCGTCGCTGGAGGCGCGGGTGCTGGGTCAGCAGCTGCGCAGGGTGCAGGACTTCTTCAGCGTGGCTCGGAGCGGCGGATTTCTTTTGCGGTGGGGGAGGGTTGTTGTTCTAGGGGTACCTTCCATTTCCATTCTCTCCAGGGATCCTTCTTTCAAGAAAGCCTCCGGAAACCCAGGGACAGCGGCCAGTTCTTGGAAAGAACGATGGTTGAAAATAATGGGCAAGGAATCAACCCTAGAGTTGTACGTCAAAAACCGTCCTGAACTTGCTGGTGCGATAGGTAGAGAATGAGGGAATGAGCCCAGGCTTTGGTCTCCTTGAAAGGGATGGTTTATAAGGGTCATTCCCTGATTCCCTGCTGAGCACCAGCAAGTTCATTTTGACACGGTGTGATTCTTGGGGGTGACAGCCGTCGGTGGGGAGTATCTTGAGGCCTTGATTTTTTCATCATATTTTGGCTTTAACACATCATAATAGAAGGAATACATGTGAATTTTAGTATAGTCTAAAATAGACATACCCATGTAGATAGGTTTGTTTAGTTCCACTATGTGTTTATCTTGTTCAACAATTACAAGGTCTTCATTTATGATATACCTGTGCTTGAATAGCGGTTTATTTACCAGTTTTTGGAAGCGTTCAGGCGTATTGACTATCTCATAATCACCATGCTTTCTTACATTCTCTATGGTCTTACCATATACACTGTTATTCATTAGCTTAAACAAGTCTTTTTCGAACACATTTTTGGCATTCTTTCTCTTTTCAGTGTTGACCTCAATGAATGGTTTTGAGAAGTTTGCTTGCTTAAAACTCATCGCTCTATGGACTTTTCTAAGACGTAAGCCATGTTGTAAATAGAACTTCAATGCTGATATATGTAAACCATACTTCTTTTTACCCATAACTTACTGATTTCTTTGCCTTTTCATCACTGGCATCCTTTCACATAATAGTATTTGTGTATATCCTTTTGGACTTGTGAAAGCATATTCTCATTGATACTGTGGTGGAGTATGTGGGGGGTTTGCACTCGAATTGTAATGTGGACAATGCAAAGGGCTGAAGCACACATTGCTGCCCCATGATGAGGTAGTTTGGATGAATTTTGCTCAGCAAAGAAAATGGAACCATCCAACAGAGGGCCCGAAAAGGAGATTCCCCTGCAAATGGAGTTCTTTTTGGCTTCCTTTTCAATCTGGGGAGGAATGTAGGTACGACTTATTTTTGACACCGAGGCTTTTCATGTTCACAAAACCCACAAGGGACAGCTCTAGGGCTCAAGGTGGCTCTAGGTGATTTGACAGCCTCACGAGTTGGCAGATGCGAAGTCAAATGGAATGCCAACAATATGTGTTGACGGAAATTGAGGGTTCTCTTATCCGCGGTCCTTCCTTTTTTGCCCTCTGTTTGTGGCTGCTGTTTCTTTCGAGAAGGACAGATGGACATTTTAAGCTGCCCATGTTGTGTCCTAACCCGGACGTTCTTTCTGGGGACTCCCTTTTTGGCTTTGCAGTGGAGTGTTGTGCCTGTTTGCTATGCCCACTTTCTATTCTGTGCTCCGTGCTCCCTTGGAGGCATCAGAGATACATTTGGAGTCCTCATTGCTTCGCCACCTTGGGGTTGGTATGATCGCAACAGGATGCCACGATTTCCGGCCCTTTATCCAACGCATACCGTTTGGCAAACACATGCGCGAGTTTGCTGGGTCATGAAGGCGTATTTGTTGGGTTTTATCCATCCGTAGACGAGATGAGTTGGAGCCGGATTCTGTCTGCGCCGCCCTATCCCACTGGATGTGATTATCTGATGTGAATCTTGTTTCGGCATTTTGGAGCTTAACATCAGCTATGACTAGATGCCATTGTGGCCTTATGGTGAGAAGGTCCAGGTAATCCTGGATGTTTTGAGCCTGTTTTCCAGAGTCAATTGGGCTTCATCACGACCCAACTGATTTTCAGCGGCAAGCGGAAGGGTCATGTTACACCACAACTCATTGTTGCATTTTCTTTAAAAGCCAAGGATGACACTCAAATTGCCATGGTCAGTCAGGAAATAAGGGTGTCTTAAGATTTTGGATTTCCCTTTGGTTCCCTCTAAACAGCGGCACCCTCAAAAAGACTCATCCAAAACCGTCAAACAATGAATGTGTCGTTCATTGAGCGGCCCTTTGGTTTGGTTTAAAGGGAAACCAAGAGGGACACCGAGTTCCATTTTGGGCATTCCATATCCTATTTCGACACATACCCATGTATATATATATATATATAACAACTTAAGCCCTGATAGTTGCCCCACATACAAAGTTAAACCAACAGTTACACATGGTGCTTTTCCCTTTGGCTTTCCTCTGAACCACCCAACACGGGTACCAAAAGACAAACACACAGCCAGATACCCGGATTCAAGGGTATTTTCAGATGTGAGCTTTGGGCTACGGAGGCTACATACCACTTATAGGGGCATGTACTGCTTCTATACCAGCAATGTAGCATCCCGACGGGAAATGCTTTTGACGGTAAGGGTACATACTGCTGTACCAGCAACATAGAGTATTACGGTGGATGCCCTGAATATTGCAGGCAGACCAAACACACTCAACAACACAACCCTGGTAAATTTGAGGGTTTCCTTGTTCCCTGAGTTGCAATATTTAGGGCATCCACCTCCCAAGCCCCATGGGGATTGCATGCCACCGGACACCCATGAAGAATGCTTTTGACAGTAGGGGTATATACACCGCTTTTTTTCCAGATCCCTATGGGGTTTTGGAGGTGCTACGTTGTTGCTGTAGCATTACCTCCAAAGCCCCCATAGGAAATGCTTAACTGAACGGGTTTGCATGCTGCTTTAACAGCAACATAGCTTTACCTCCAACATTTTGTACCCCATAGGGTTTTCACGAAAGCTAGCTTTAGCTAGCTGAAGTTTCTCCTTGCGTAAGCAAGGTAAGGGGCTCAAATGCCGAAAGATTGATTTTTTCAATTATTTGAGCCGAAAAGATTGAAAAACATCAATTATTTAGACCCCCCCCCCCCCTCCCCCCCCCCGGTCTCAGGCTCGATTCCTCCCTGGTCCATCCCCCCCCCCGGGCAGTGGCTCAGTGTTCAGCAGTCTCGGTTTGCCCGTTTTGGACTTGGTGCTACGAACTTTTACATGTTCCACCGATTCAGCTTGTTCATTTGAGACCTCAGTCTTCTCAGTAAACCACCTCGCAAGAATCTTTGCACACGCAGCATGCAGAACTCAGAGGTGCTTTAAGACAGCTTCTGACGCCTCTCGTTGTTTTCATTTTTCAAGGTTTGCCACGCCACCATGTGCGTTTGCGTGTCGAATCTTGCCGGGCCTCTCGTTGTACACAAGCTACCCATGAATCCACTCTGTCACCAACCCATCTCATGCAACAACTGCTAGCTTTCGTTCACCTGCTCCTCAAGTTTTGCTTCCCAACTCCCCCATATCAGCCACAATCAAAACCCGGGTAAGTGAAGGTTAGTAACGGACGATCCTAGCCATAAATAGCTGCAGCCGCCTTCTTAGTTCTTTACATGGTTCCGGGTCGACCATTTTTGCACCGGGTTTTGATTGCGATCGCGCGATCGTCCGATGGCGATCGATCGGAGGTCTGATCCATTTACTTTCGGGTTTTCCCCCCAATAAGCATTCCCTACACCTTGGGGAGTGCATATTCTCCGGCCACCGGATGCAGCGGATGCACCGGATGCACCCAGATCCGGGCCGAATCGAGAGGTCTGCAGCGGGTGGAGCGCCTTCCTCTCCTCGCGGACGCTGCTCATGGCCAGCGCCGCGGCCACGGGCCGGGTGAAGCAGCTCTACGTGAGGAGCGGCCTGGGGGGTGGGTTGGTGGGGGGTTGGGGGCCCAAAACCCTTTCCGGCCCGATATTGTGTAGGGAAAACGAAGGAGGTTTCTCTGTTTTTTTGGTCCTAGGAAAAGTTGATGTTTTTGGTTGCTGTAGGAGTGTATGTTTCCTTGTATTGGATCAAAGGACTGATGTTGAAGTGTTGCAAAACATACGCAGAAGGCTTTTTAGCCACCTTGTGAGTAACACACGGTCGCACAAGATCTGAGGGCAAACAACTGTGGTTGAAACCCACCGGGACCAGGAAGGGGGGCATTTAGATCTGACAAAAGTGTGGGTTGATGGGTCGAGTAAGGGGGGAACTGCATTGCAAAAAGAACCCGACATTTTGTCTTTGTCAAAGGGTTGGGTTTCATCATAATCTCGGGAAATCAATCGAAAGGCTTCACAGCTCTTGCAGGTTAGTAGAACCTTCCTGGAAGGGGGGTCTTCTTTTTTTTTCCTTTGGGTAAACATCAAAGGTTTCTAGATCAATCCAACCCTTGAAGATAAGATTGGGGCTGAAACCTTTACAGAAGGGGTCGTCATGGGGGCTGAGTTTTTTCAGATTCCTGGAGGCTGAGTTTTTCAGATTCCTGGGGGCTGAGATTTTTTCAGCAAAAAATCAAAAAAAAAAAACAAAAAAAACACAGCCCATCATCTGCATCTGCTAGTTCAGGGCCATGGGTCTTGTTTTTTTTTTTTTGGTGCCTTTGCTCATAAACACCAAGAAAACCAAAAAAAAAAAACAAAAAAACACAGCCCATCATCTGAAGACAATACTTTGTTGATGCTTTCTTGATGCAAGCTTTCTTGATGCAAGACATCAATAATATGATGAGATGTGTATCAACAGAACATACGCCTCTTCCAAGATATTCTGCAGGTAACTCCAGGTAACTGGAGATAATTTATCTCATCTCTCATTTCATCTTCTGCAGGTAACATCTCATCACAAACAATTGCTTGTGGCTTGTTTCTTCTTGAATCTATTCTGAACAGCTTTACTGTTGCAAGAGCTCTTCAGCAACACGAATAGCTGCAGAGAATCTTATTCCAAAGCTCTTATTCCAAAGCTGAACAGCTTTATGCAGAGAATGTTATTTGCATCTGCAGATATCGTTGCAGGTGCTCATCTTTGCATCTTGTGCTTCTTGAGCTCAAGCAACTAGATTGGAGCTGTGCTCCAATTGCTCCAGCTCATTATGCGATAAATATGTTTGTGTTAGCTGTCTTTTCTCAAGAGCCTGGGCAGAGCCCATGCGTATATTGAAAAAAACATGAGCATCCAACTGTAAAAAGAGCTGAGTCTTGCAGCTGAAAGCTGCATAGATCAGCGATATCTTACCTTTCTTATGATTTCATATGCGTGGCAAGCTGTGCTTGCCATACTTACGTGTTTCAGAATTGCAACACAACAATAATATTTGTCCCAAACATACATCTGCTTGCAGATTGCTAAGCATACGTCTTCCAAAATATTGCATACGTATGCAACTTGTGTTGAAGATTTGTGCCAAACATACGTCTTCCAAAAGTTAGCACCCTGAGGCTTATAAACTTGGCATGCGTAAGCATGCCAATTATCCAAAAATAAGCTACAGACACACGTTTGCTAAATATTTGTGTCCAACAATGATATTTGTGCAAAATAGTTCTCAACAGGCTGTCTTCTGTGCAGATTGAAGCTAGCTCATTTTCCAGGTCTGGATGCATCTGAGTCTTCATTGGATCGAAAATGCATCTGTGCTTGCATGTCATCAGCCAAAAAACAGCAAAAAATGCACCCCAATAAATGTAAGAGGTCACGGGCCTTGATCTTATATTTTTGGTATTTTTTAAGTGTTTTTTTTTTTTGGGAAAAACTCAGCCCCCAAGAATCTGAAAAACTCAGCCCCCAAGAATCTGAAAAACTCAGCCCCCAGGAATCTGAAAAACTCAGCCCCCATGCCGACCCGCCCTCAACCTTTAAGGGTATATCCAGGAATGGGCTCTGGTGATATGGAGTTTATATAGTCATATGCCACTCATAGGAGGGATGCGCATAATTACAAATATGGTGGGAAGGTGCGTGTGTAATATGGTAAATGTTGAACCATTTTCTGGTTGCCGCGTCACAATATGACCGCTTTTGCTTGGGAAGCGCAGCCGTGGCATGCTGACAGAGGGGCTCAAATAAGGTTAAGTCGCTCAATCTGATCCGCTGCTTTTTGACCCCGCATCCTGCCTTCCCCGGAACACATCACATGAAACATGGGCTTTTCCAAGGTTTCATGGCAGAAAGATGCTGTGATTCCAGCGGATGGCGTTGGTGTGTTCTGCTTCGCCGGGGCTTTAGCTGGCCAGCATTTCCCAATTACCAGCCTCGGGGGGCGACTGAGTCGATCACAAGACACAAAAGGCTAGCGTATTTTGATGTATGTTCTTTTGTGGGCGATGGAACGGCAGAGGATTGCAACTTGCTGATATACATATAATCATCCCTCCGCACCCTGCCTGGCAGAATGTGGGGGTCGGATTTGCCGACTTTGGCGCAAGAGCTTCCACAAACTTCCCAATTTGCCCTGAAGATTGTGACCTCAAGAACTTTTGCCTTTTTTGCATCTCGAGCCTTTTGGATTCAAGCACCAGTTTGTGCAGCTGGGATGTGACTTCTGACAGGCTGGAATGTTTGGACACGCCGTCGGCAAAGGCGCGGGCAAGAGAACGGAGACAGGAAGGATGGCCCGCCCGAGATCCGGGCGGTCACCCGGTGTTTGGGGGTGTGCTGAAAACCTCTTGTGTTCATGTCGGATGCGGCTGTGTCTTTCAAATATATATATATATATATATATTTGTATATGTATGTATATATAACCATATATATATATATATATATATATAGGGAAGCACCATTTCAAGTTGGCGCATCGTTTCCTGAAATGGGAAGTATGGCTGGCGTGTTCGAGCAGTTTGGGGAGCGGATGAAGGTTCCAGACATCAATGCTTCCCGCAAAAAGGAATGCAGTGCACGAGACGAAGAGCCGTTGCACAGAGAGGATATGGGCGAGCTTTGGTGCTGACCGGTGAAAGCTCACGCATGGATTCCCCAAGGCAAGATTCGGCGTTGAAAGCACCGACCTCCCACTCACAGTGCCTTTGATGTTATTCTCATCATGGCTCATACTGCAGATCCCAGCAGCGTTCATGGAGTGACGCCGCCCGGCCACCTTTTCCTTTTGATACAAGAATATTGCAGTTATTGGAAGCCACCCAAAGGGATCATTCAGGAAACCCTTGAGCGGTTTGGATTGGTGGTTTGAAGGTTAGGGATTTACCCACAAGAACAAGGAGTTTAAATCCAACTCCAAAACCAATCTCCTTTCCATTCAGGTACCTCCTTGGTTTGTTTGTCTGGGAAACCACCAAGCAACCGGTCTCCACCAATAGGAAGCTGAAAGGTCCTGGAATCCCCCAAAATGGGGGAGGGGAGGGGGGGAGGTGCAAGGGGCGTCATTGTGAGGCGCTAGGGTCCCCTCTCTGGGAGTTCCAGAATCCCAGAGGTTCCCCCCCCCCCAATTGCCAGGCCCGTCCCAGGCGCAAGTCCAAAGACCCCGCGCCGGAGCTCTATGTAGAGGCGCGTTTGGGGCCGGTTTTTCGGGAGGTCGGGGCTGGTTGTCTCTTATCCCCAGATGGTGGGCTGGTGGATTTTCGAAATTGGTGTGGCTCGAAATTAAAGAACTGGGGCTTCGCAGATTTTAGCCTTTGGTTCCATTTGCCAAGGCACCATTTTGGTACATGTTTTTGACCCACAGCCAAATCTCAAGTTTTGATGGCTGGTTTCTCTTGCTGGTTCTCTTTGGTGCACCCCTTCAACCAAACGGCACCCAAAGGGAAGGGCAAATGGACGTCCAGGTTCTTCCGAGTAAAGGGAGCGGAATGAGGAATGGGTCTTGGTTGGGGGCAGCTTGTTTCAATCGACGCTTGGGAAGAAAATTGAATCCCTCCGATAAATGGGTGCGTCTTTTTTTAGGGGACCGCCAACAACAAAAAGAAGAACGCCCTTGTGACGGATGCCATGCTTAGGAACATGTAACAGCCCAGACAACTGTCCCTGACACAATCGGGAAGGGCGTGCATCTTCAAGCCTGGCTGTCTCGCTTTGCCTGCGTTTGCCGCTAGTCATGTTTTGTTTCGCTCTTCATAGCATGCGCCTCGGTGCATGCCAGCAGCGGTATTGGGATGTCACTCCCCGCAGACATTGGGCAGGTGGGTGAGGGAAAGACTCTGCCCAAAGTGGATTCCAGCGCCTAGCTCACACCCTCCCACGTTTGCCCCAGCACTTCGCCCCTCCGCAAGCAGGGGCAACTTGGAGTGTTTACCACGAGCCTTGCAATCTTCGGGTGGGCTCCCCCCCCAAAACAAACAAAACACATGGGTGTGGCTCAAAATCAAAGTGCTACGGTTACGCAGGCGTTGGTCTTTGGTTGCATTTGCCAAGAAGCCCTGTACACCTGTACATTTTTGTGTGAGCAGCCACATGAAACGCGGACCCCTCCTTGCAGCCGTGCACCTGGGAGTGCAGGGAGAGACGCTGACCTTCCGCAGCGTGACGCTGCACACGCCGGCGAAGCAGGCGGCGCTCTGCTCGTCGTCCGCAGGTTGGTAGGTAGAAAACAAAGGTGTGGGGTGCGAGCCCGTGTTTTTTCCAGAGTCCTAGTTTTCTCTTGCTGGTGCGATAGGTAGGGTTCATGTGGGAATGAAGCCAGGCTTTGGTCACCTTAAAGGAAACCACGAGTTGGATGGCTTATAGGGGTGATTCCAATTCTCATTCCTTACTGAGCGCCAAGTGGTTTTTTGAGTTTGTAGAGTGGGAGAGTCTACGCCAATACCAGGCGCTGCTGAGGGATCTCACCTTCAGCCCCATGGCAGCAAACGGCAGGGAAGGGCTTGGGTTAGTTTGGTTTAACGCGGGGCATGGGAGGTCTTGACCTGCCAAATTTTAAGGCGCAAGGTTTTTCCGTGCTTCTGCTTTCATCCTTTTTCAGTGGGCCAAGCCTGGGCCTCACGTCGGTACCACGTGTTTCTTGGTGTTCCTTGAGGCGTGGAGAAGGGGCCGCTGCTGGTGTGCGGGCACGCGCTGAGCGGCAAGAGCGTCCTCGCCAAGGCGCTCTTCGGGCTGTGGCCCTTGGTGGGCCAAATCACCCGCCCAGGCCGCGGATCTCGGATCGATCGCTGCCGCCCCCCAACTCGGATGGGAGGGAGTCAGATGGTGCGATGCCAGGAATCTTTTTGGGGGTGGCACTAAGTAGGTGGACCCCCAAGTTGTTTTTTTTTCTGTTTGGGGGTGCAGAGCCATTCAATCAACAACCGACAACCGCCCGTTTGCAGAGAGAGCGAGAGCGATGCCAGAGTTGAGAAGGCTCAGTGGCATCAAGCTTCTTTTGGCTGTGGGTCAAAACCAGTATCAGTATATAGTACCATTTTGGGGTAGGTGAATTCCTATTTTCGTGGGGATTGGGACGTTCACTGGGGGTACGGGATTTTGATCCATGGCCATTTGAATTTGGCAGGGCTACTCGTTGGTAGGAGTGATTATTTGACGGATCCTGTCCCACACGGAGGTTTGTGACTGTTGTCACTTGGCACATTTTTACAAAATTTGGGATGTGCGGTATTTCTCAAGATGCGTTTTGTCCGAAATGTAGGGTTTGTGATGTGAATCGCAGGGGAAGGGCAGGGATAGAAGGTGACAAGCAAGAACACGAGTCACTTTCCAGTGACACACACACACATTGGCAGGCCAGTTAGGGGGGCTCCTATAGGGCAAACAGAACTGTCGGGATGCAGGCTGGTCTTTCATCTCCTGAAGAAACAGCGCCCGGTCCAATGAATTATGGAGGCTTACACACACACAGACCGTCTCTCTCTCTCTCTCTCTCTCTCTCTCTCTCTCTCTCTCTCTCTCTCTGGACACCTTGGTTGTTTGGATCTCTTGTTGTCTCCGAATGGAAATGCAGAGCAAAGCCCTTAGAACATTACTCTGTTGCTTGCACCGAGAACACCAGCCATCAGCGAGACATGTGGCTAATTCAGAGGGAAGCATTTTCGCGCCCCAATAATCTTCCTGGCAACTTTCTTGCGCATCATGCAGCATTCTTGCTTGCTTGGCCTAAAGCCACAGCCATGGTCTTCCACGTTCCGGACCGTTGTTATCCCCAGATAGCCTTAGCAAGCTTGGGCAAGTTTACAGATGAAGCCAGCAAATCCTTAGCTTCACATCGCCCTGCCTTTCTTTTTCGCGGACCCTGTGGTTTTCGGGTTGGTTTTTCTTTAAAACCACCCGAACACAAGACCCAGCCACACGGCTAGGCGCAAGCCACACGGCTCGGGGACCCAGACGGAAGGGAGGGGTTTGGGCGAATCCGGGAGTAAAGAATTCCAAAGTCGAGACAGGCGGTATCTGCTTCAAATATTTCACCGTCGTGAGAGCTGTGTCCGCGCGTTCAGCCTATGGGCCTGGAACATGGGTGATGTTTGCGCAGGTTCACGTGGGGTACTGTTCAGGATTGGCGGCATTCGTTTAAAAGGGATTCGACGCGTTGCAGCGGAGAGACCAAGCTTGGTGTTGTCGATGTTTGATCTTGGCGCCCTATTTGGAGCAATCACCAATGAAGCGAACAGGAGGAGGGGGATTCGTTCAGCACGGACACGCTTTTGCAGCAAGCGGCTGTGTCAAAGCAGGTTTTCGCCCCCGAAACAAACACGAGCCTATGAGGAAAGCCCGCTTTGGGTAGCTGAAGTGTATCAAGACGGGTCAAACGTCAGATGCATCGATTTTGCAATTTCGCTTGCCGCCTGTGCTCTCCGTTCTTCTTGGTTCCTGGCACTGCACAAAGATCTCCGCGCCCTTCTCTGTTTCCTTTTGCATTTCTTCGTGTCCTTTCTTGCACCATTTGTTTCTTTAGCTCATTCCGCGCTCTCGCTTTCACTCTTCAGCTCTCCCGCCGTACTCTCCCAGTTCTTGCTTTTTTCTCTCGCTTCCTCCTCCTCGTCGTGACGAGCCCTCTTCTCCCTCTACTCTTCTGCGAGTTCTTTTGCTAGTTTGCTTTGCTCTTCTCCCAGCTTTTTTGCCGTGTTCGCTTCCGTTCCTGTTCTCCTCAAGTTTTCGCTCTGTTTCAAAACCATCCCAAAAAAGATGGTGCAGTTGCAAGCCATTCCCAGGTTTCCCTGTGTTGCTCACTTTACTCAACAAGTTTTGGCGCTTGCAGGGATGGCCTGCGGCAGTGCGGTCAAAAACACATGCCGATAGAGATTTCCTGAGATTCGGGCCCGTCCTGAGATTCGGACCCGTCCAGAGACAGATAGGCACAGAAAGACGCAGATATGAATCGAGCCATACACTTAGATATACACGGATATACGCAGATACACATAGTCATAGATACAGGCAGATTATATATATATATATATGTTCATATATACATATATAGATACAGATATTCACCTAGATAGGTACATATTTTGATGCGTATATATATATATACACATATATATATATATATACATACATATGCATATGCACCTATCTACGTTCTGTATATCAATTGATATAGACAGACATAGATTACATCGATGGACTGATAGGTTCAGCACGCCTGCTGAGGCGGAAGGCATCCCGTTACCTGAGGACATCCTCTACATGCCAGTGGCTCGACCAGAGTCGGCTCCCAGAAATCGAATCAAAGCATTCACTTTGCTGGTGCGATACCCTTCCTCCAACTAACATGGCACCTGTGGGGAGGTACCTGGAAGATTCATTTCCTTTTGAAGGGAGCCCCTGTCAGTTGTCATGTTAGTTGGAGGGAGGGTAGGTAGGGAATGTGGGGATGAACTGTTTGGGGATCATGTCTCATTCCCTGAGCATGCTCCAGTGAAAGAGCACAACACAGAGCGTCCTGTGAATGCACAGCCAGCCCGTTGTCATTCTTTGACATCACCAGCATCACCCGCATCATTTGCATCACCAGCATTACTGGAAACATGTGCCTCATCAGTATGACTAGCATCGCCAGCATCATTAAACCTGTCAGTGTTGGTTTAGTTCAGGAAACGGTGTGACAAGCTTCGAGTCAGAGTCGATGATACGTAGCCCTGTGGTGGACCCTCTGCTCTATTTGCAGCTGTATTTGGGTATGTGTAAGTGGTCCAATCCAAAACACCGCCCCCCCCCCCAACACCGAGGAGCGGCCCTTGCTGGGCCTCGTCGCCTCGCTCTCGGACGAGGTCACCTTCCCAAGGCGACGGCGGATTCCTCCGCGTTTTGGATGTGGGTTGGTTGGTTGGGTGGGTGGGGTGGGGTGGGTTGGGTTGGTTGGGGTAGGGGTTGGGTGGGTTGGGGTAGGGTTGGGTGGATTGGGGTAGGGGTTGGGTGGGTTGGGTTGGGTTGGGTGTTGGTTGGTCGGCTTGGGTGGGGTTAACTTGGGTGGGTTGGGTTTGTTGGGGTAGGGGTTGGGTGGGTTGGGTTGGGTGGGTTGGGTGGTTGGGTTGGGTGGGTTGGGGTAGGGGTTGGGTGGGTTGGGTTGGGTTGGGGGTGTTGGTTGGTCGGCTTGGTTGGGTGGGTGGGGTGGGTTGGGTTGGGTTGGGTTGGGTTGGGTTGGGTTGGTGGGCCACACCCTGAGACTACTAGTATAGATCAACATATTCCAGAAGCATGGCGTAGTAACCAAACCTGTCTCAGATGAGTGGGTAGTTGGTTGGTTGGGTTGGGTTGGGTTGGGTTGGGTTGGGTTGGGTTGGGTTGGGTTGGGTTGGGTTGGTTTGTGGGCCACACCCTGAGACTACTAATGTAGATCAACATATTCTAAAAGCATGGAGTAGCTACGGCGTAATCCAACTTGTCTTAGATGGGCGGGTGGGTGGGTGGGTTGGTTGGGTTGGGTTGGGTTGGGTTGGGTTGGGTTGGTGGGCCACACCCTGAGACTACTAATGTAGATCAACATATTCTAGAAGCATGGAGTAGTTACGGTGTAATCCAACTTGTCTTAGATGAGTGGGTGGTTGGTTGGTTTGGGTTTTGTTGGATGGTTGGCTGGTGGCTGGCTGGTGGCTGGCTGGCTGGCTGGGTGGCTGGGTCGCTGGCTGGCTGTTTGGTTTTGTAAATAGCCATGCGATAGGGAGCTTGCTTTAATATGTTTGCACATGGAGCCTAGTTGGCTCAAGTCTCATCTATCGTGTACAGGCTTTCGCCGGCAATTGAGCACCCCTCAAAAGTGGTGGACCTCTTACTGTAATCCCTACCAATTTTCGGTGTCCACCCTGTCGGGTCCCCCACCCTTTCCACTTCCTTCGTTGTTGATTTGATGTCCCTACCCCACCTTCTAAGGTTCACTCACCACTTCGAGAGCAAAGAAAAACATCCAATGGCATTTTGCAAAAACAAAGACAAGAACACAGCTACTAAAAAAGTCAAGCCCGCCTATTTTTGGCCGCCGTTTCTTGTTTTTGCCAAAGGGCAGCTGCCCAAATTGGTCCCCAAAACCGCAGAATTCATCTTGGCGCAGAGGCCGCTGCCTGAGGGCCTTCCGCCGGAGGAGCTCCAGAGATGGCTGGCCTACGTGGGGCTCGCTCCTGGGTCTACCGGGGGGCAGTTTGGGGTGTCGGATGGCGCGGCCCGAAATGTGGCCATAGTCTTCTTTTTTGGATGGCGCCATGGGTGTCCTTTTTGGTTTTGGTAGAAAAGCAGATGGCCTTGGTTTACCTGGTGGTTTAATTTCATCTACCAGGGCCAGCTATAAATGGGTGCGGGTCAAAAATAGGGTAACCCCAAAATGGCTTGCCCTGGTAAATGGAACTAAGGACGATTTAACCTGCGGTCCATATCCTGGTGGTTTAATTTCGACACATACCCAACTGTGGGTCTGTCTTGGTGCCCTTTGAGTGGGGATGGCAAAGGGAAACCAAAGGAAACCCTGTGATTTGTTGGGGCTCCGACTCCAAGTTTTGACACACCAAGTACAGAATGGAATCTAGGGGGACTTGCACTGCTAAGGGCCTTCCACCGTAAAGGTGGAGGGGGTGTGAGCTGCCCTGCGTGGGAGTTGCCCTGTGGGAGTTGCCCCCAATGGAAAGGACAGTGAAGCCCATCTCAGAGGTAGCTGAAACAACTTTAACAGCTTTGTACCCTTCACGTTGACATGGAATCTAATGTTTCGGGAGTGGAAGACTATTTTCTTTTGAAAGGGACATTGTTTCCCAGGCCCAATTTCCAAAGGGTCGAGCACCTGTTCCACTCCCGTTAAATTTTTGGAAACCGTGGTGGACGTGAATCCCCGAACTGATGTCGTCCCCGTATAAAGCGCACACGTGGGAAATCCAGCCTCGGCTTGAAGTGGGAGGTGCTCCGAAAACCATGTGGCTGTGGTTGTCAAAACCAATGGGATACCATTTTGGTTGGTAGGTGAATTCACCACCCATTTCAGGTTGCCTATTTTCACTGGGACGATTTGGATTTTGACCCATGGCCATGTGAGGACCACCTTACGGAGGAGGGCCTCTTGAGCCTGTCTTTGCGGGACCAGCAGTCCCTTGGCTTCGCCAGGCCTGGGTTCTGGCGGCGCTTCGCGCTTCCTGGGGGTCAATGTGGGTTGATCAGGGTTGACAGACATCCAAGCAAGCAAGCAAGCAAGCAAGCAAGCAAGCCAGCCAGCCAGCCAGCCAGCCAGCCAGCCAGCCAGCAAGCAAGCAAGCAAGCAAGCAAGCAAGCAAGCCAGATTCATACACACTTATACGCAATCTGACACATTAGGATGCATTAACACACATTTATACACTTTTGCGCACTTGCACACATTCGCACGCACACACACGCTCATTCACATGAATACTCATAGATACACATTCAAGCACATTCATTCACATGCCTGCACACCTTCACATGCACATATACAGACATGCACACATACACGCACGTGCGCATATGAACACATATACTCATATATATATATATATATATATATGTGTGTTTGCATCAACACACGCGCACACACACACACATACACATACACGTATGCACACACACACACACACACGCACACACACACGCACACACACGGACACACGCACACGTGCCCACACACACACACACCTGCACCCAAGCACACATGCGCACATGCAACATGCACACATACACAATGACATGTGTATATACACATAGACAATACACATGCACTGACATCCACATGTACATGCAAATATGTGTATATGTCTACATATATATATATATACATATGTATACCGGTATGCATATGCATAGGCATCTTGATTCACATAGGCAGACACAACACGTATACATATAAAGATAAAACCTACATGCGCAAGCACACACACACAGACACACGCAGACATGTGCATACGTTGCATGCCTAGTTTACCCTTCCGTCTTACCTTTCCTCTAGGAAACGGTTTGGATGCGGTTTTTGTGGATCCACCCTTGTAGGATAGCAAAAGAGTATTCAAAGAGGAACAGCTAGCCAAACAACATGGGGAAACCACAGAAAGCGCATCCAATCCGTTTGCTGGATTTCCGCAGGCTCCTCTTCCATCGGCCCCGCTTCGCGGTGCTGGACGGCTGCACCTCCGCCATGGGCGTGGAGCTGGAGCGCCGGTTCCTGCGCCTGGCGCGGGAGCTGGGCGCCTTGCCATCGGGCAAAGAGCTCACTGGGGTAGAGTTAGGATCATTTTACATTACAGGGCTCCGAATAAAAGATACATTTTGCAACCATTTGAAACATGTTGCTTGTTCAACACCAAAATAAAGGTTGAAACCACCATTTACAATGCCATGTTCAGGTGTATAATGTAAGGAATATACATTCTATAACTGGGCCTAACTGAAAATCATGCTCAGATTGGATGTTTTTGCGGATGCCCAACAACAAACCATGGCCAGTACGGTAGATTCGGGGACTTCCTTGTGCCCTGACTTTCAATGTTCAGGGCCTCCAATTGCTTTTAAGCACTCACTGACACTCACTGATTGATGTTTATCAGATAATTTAGGGTGAATCAATTACATCATCCGGGATCATTACCACGAACTGGTGGATTTTCCTTCTGGTCTCCCTTTACACCAACCCAGCCTGGAAGTTGGCGCAATTTAGAACCCTTATCATAGGGAAGCACCGTACCAGCCGTTTTGAGGCGGGTTTTAAAGGGCGACCGCGCGTTTCCAACCAGTTTGGGGGGTTTGGCACGTACACCTTTAATTAGTTCGTTTCCCTGTCGTCCTTTTGCTTCTTGAGCGTTGGGTGCGTTACCTGCGGTTCAAGTTTTAACTGGCTTTGTGAAGCTTTAAACTTGTCATAGCCCTACAAAGTTAGGGAACCGCCACTTTGCAGGGCTTTATCGACAGAACGAGCCCCTGCAGGGCTTGGCCACGATGGACAAAATCCGCTTCGGATTCGCCAGTGGGGATGGCTTTTTGTTCCCATGGCTGGGGGGAAGGGTAAAGCAACCCAACACAGGTACCCTGAAGAAAAGACACACCCAAGTGGCACTGGTAATGCAGTGATGTGTTCATGCATCACTTGGGTCACTTGTAGGTCCACTGTCGGTTTGCAGGGCGAATCTTGCACCATCCAATGGAGGTATGTTGAACGTGCGATAACTGCTGTAGCCTTCAAGTGAACAATGCTTTTGGTCCTTTCTACCCCAATCGACGTGACGCGCAAAGAGTCATATCATTGCATTACAATTGCCATGGAGTGTCATTGGGCAGCAATCATCATGACTATCATGATTTATACTAGTGTGTGTGTGTGTGTGTGTGCGCCCGTGCGTTGCGTGCGTTAGGTGCGTCGCGCGCGTTGCGCGCGTTGCGCGCTTTGCGCGCTTTGCGCGCTTTGCGCGCTTTGCGCGCATGTGTGCGTGCGTGCGTGCCTGCCTGCCTGCGTGCGTGCCTGCGTGCCTGCGTGCCTGCGTGCCTGCGTGCCTGCGTGCCTGCGTGCCTGCGTGCGTGCCTGCGTGCCGGCGTGCCTGCCTGCGTGCCTGCGTGCGTGCGTGCGTGCCTGCGGCCGGGGCGGGGCGCGCGTGCGCGCGCGTGCGCGTGCGCGTGCGCGTGCGCGTGCGCGTGCGCGTGCACGTGCGCGTGGGCGTGGGCGTGGGCGTGGGCGTGGGCGTGGGCATGTGCGTGTGCGTGTGCGTGTGCGTGTGCGTGTGCGTGTATATATACATATATGTATATATGTGTTTGTGCAGGTGCGTGTGCAGGTGTGTGTGTGTGTGTCAAGGGTGACCAGTGGTGTCACTACAGCTGTTGATTTTGTGTGCGGCAAGATGTGCTGAAATACTCGGCGTGAGCCGAGTGCAATCTGGCCATGATTTCAGGTGCGGACTGGCCCCTTGAAGTGGGATTTGTCTCACGAATGAGGGAACCAACTTTTCTTAAGCCAGCCCGATGGCTTGAGGGGCAACTCCCACTCGGGCGGCAAGCATCCCAGTTTGAGGGGGCGAGGGGATAGTCTGGAATGGAAGTACAGTAGGCCATGCTGCTGTTTTGGCTTTGAATAGGTAGTAGTGATAGCCTTCTTGGGGCTTGGTTTAAAGGGAAGCCAAAGGGAACCCATCTATTTTGCTGGCTGCTTCATGTTGAGACCAACTCCATATGCACAGACACTTGGAGCACATTCTGCAGCACCAGACCCAACATGAAAGCAAATGAACCACTATCCTAGATGAAGGTGCGTGCCAAACACACCTTCCCCTCTTTTTCCCCTCCCCCCCTCCTCCCCTCCTCCCCCCCTCCTCCCTCCTCCACCCCCTCCTCCCCTCCTCCCCCCCTCCTCCCTGCTCCGCCCTCCTCCCTCCACCCCCTCCCTCCCCCCCTCCCTCCGTTTGCCTCCCCGTGCTGAGGGGTGTGCTGCATCACCATGACCCGGCGGGCCAGCCAGAGCTTGAAGGACCAGCACGCGCGGATGCTGGTGCTGCACTCCGCCCGCGGGGAAGACACCCGAGGCGCTGGGAGCTGGGGGCTGCTGACAGGTGACGTGCCCCAAGGTTTTGGACTGAACCAATTTGTTGGCTGACCAGTTTTACATGCCAAGAGGATTTTCGACGAAAACAAGGACTGAATAATTTTGTGGTCTGGAAGGGATTACCCAGTTTGTGGCTTCAGTGAGCTAGGGGCGGATATTGTGAAAGCATGAGTTGGATGTGAGAGATAGTTCAGTGTCCATTTGTTGATTCCTTCCAGCTAGCATTGGTTGAGATGCTGATGTGTCGTTCTTGTTTGTCAGGTCACCCTTAGGTGGTTTGGATTGGGATTTGAACCCCTCGGCCAGATGGCCATGGGTCAAAATCCTGTACCCCCAGCGAACATCCCAATCCCCACTAAAATAGGTTCTAAATGGGTGGTGCACCATTTGTTTTGACCCACAGCCAGATGGGGAAGATACCAAGGTCCAAAAACCAAACCAGCTAGGGTGACAGATGGATCCTGGGAAGCGATGTCCTGCAGCGCTTCAGCTGCGCTGCGTGCTGGCCTTTTCACCTGCTGTGCAACCCTTGGACCAAATATGGCCACGACCGAAAAAAATGAAACTTGCGTACGTGGCCCCTTGGTGAATGGAAGCAACGACTAAAATTTGCGCAACCCTAGCTCTCTGATTTTGAGCCACACCCAAATATGGAAGCAGACCACAGGTATTCCAATAGAACGAAATACCATGTTTCATGAGCACGGCTTTGTCTCAATTGAACACACAGCGGAACATGAGGCGTGCACAAGCTTTCTCCAAAAAGTCAGCGGAACCGGCAAGCTGACGTCAGCCTTCGGATCTACGGGATTTTTTAGACCGACTGCCGCGCTGGCAGGGTATGTGTCAACCTAGGGACTTCCCCTGACCCCCCCCCCCCCCACACCCCCCACCCCCCCCACCCACCCCGACCAAAAGCAGACCAAGCAGTTTGTTTTCCCCTTGGCGCCCCTGCACCCCAGCCGAGCAAAAAAATCCCGGCGCCACCCGACCGGAGGCTGGAAGCTCTTTGAGCTCGGTGAGGTGGGAGGAAGGGACTGGACCGTCTTTTTCCAATAGGGGCTTTTTATGGAGGGTGCCCTTCTTGGGTAAGTTTTGAAGAGAGAGCCGCCCAACTTATGTTGTATTATTATTATATATATATATATATAAACATGTATTTGTAAATTGATTGTATTTTTATATTGGGATTCCCTCTTTTTGAGACACTCCCACTAGGCGTTCATCCCCCCGAAGTTTGTCCATGGCACATCGCTGGGTTTTGCGTTTTCGAGAGCGCGGGCTCCGCGGAGTTCGGATTCACGCGCCATTGGAGCTTTGCCGAGGAGGGCACGAAGAGAAGTTGAGATGACGCCAATGGCCCCTGGAGTTCCAAAAAACGGATTGGGGATTAGCCTGTTTTGTACCAGGGAAGGGGATTCCATGTTCCACCGCACAGATATCTCTAAGCGGTTAGATGGGAGTGGGTCAAAAAAAGGTACTCAGAACGGAAGCCTGGCAAATGGACACATGGACGATTTAACCTGCGGTCCGATTCCTGGTGCTTTAATTTTGACTCATACCCAGAAGACGCCCATGGTCCCTGTGGATTGGACTTTGGATGGAGTTCCAGATCAGGTTTGATCCCTGTGGATTGGACTTTGGATGATACCCATGGGGTCCCACAGTTGAATTGCAGTTGAGATTACAGTGGAGTTCCAATAAAAAAGTGAGGTTTGTGGATTGTAGCTAGTTGCCCGAGCATGTTTATGGGGATGCAGGCGCTGGAGGAAATCGGCTTGTTTGTTGCTCACAGGTTTCGGCAGATGATGACGTGAGAGGGCTTCACACATTTCTTGCGCGGCATTTTTCCAGCAGGATTTGGTTCCCCTCAGAGGGATCAACCAAAAGGAGAGCGTTTAAATGACGGAAAGTAGTGGTTTGGTTGCAGCCTGTCAACAGCACAAAATGTCACCGGCAAGAAGTTCAACTCCGAGCGACGTGTTTCGGTGAGCCCCACATGCTTCTTGCAAGGGGAAAAAACCTTTTGTCCTGCTTTCATAGTTTGGCAATGAGTGAATGAGGCACAGGTCTCACAGTTCCATTTTCTCTGTATAGACGAGACATTGGAGTTGGGGGCAACCCTCCCCCTGGGAAGGGGTGTCAACAATCAGTTGCTGGACTGTTTGATGTGGATTGGTGGAGTTATGCTCCTGATTCGTGTTCAATCCACATGGGAAGACACCCTATCTCCAAAACTCGGCAATCCAAGCAGCCATCCACATCCAACCTCAGAACCCATGCACACCAACCAGCCCACCGAAAAAGAAAGAAGCAGAGGAGACACACACACACAACACGCAACAAGCCAACCAACAAACAAAGCAACCAAACGCACAACCAACAAACAAACTAGAAAACAACAACGCACAAAAAACGAGAAAAAAACAAAAAACACAACAACAACCACGGTTCCGCGGAACCGATGGACCGATGGACCGATGGACGGTCGGTCGGTCGTAGGTGGCGGTGAAGGCTCGGTGCCGCTGCAGCGCCGAGGCCTTCCAGCGCCTGGATGCCGCTTGAGGAAACGGTGGGTGGGGGTGGGGGGTGGGGGGTGGGGGGTGGGGGGGTGGGGTGGGGGGGTGAATGTAGGTGGGGGGATGAGGAGTTGTTTTTCTTCCTTTTTTGCTCGGTGGGCTGGCTGGTTGGTTGGTTTGTTGGTTGGTTGGTCGGCCGCATGCTTGGCATCACCAGCGTCACTTGGCCCTGGGGTTGCATATTGGCTCTGGTTGGGTGATTGGGAATGGCTCGGCGCAGGCTCATGAGGGCGTGTCTTGGGTTGGTTTGTTGATTTAGGCGCACGGGGCTGACATCTGGGCTGTTGGGCGTGTTTAGCTTTGACTTTGGGTGGGTTTGGCTTTCGTGTTGCTTGGTTTGGCAGCCGCTTTAATTAGGTTGCTTTGAGGTGTGGTTAAGTGAGTTTAGGTCTCGTTTAAGATTGGTTTGTTGCCACCAAAACTAGCCCACAATTCACGTAACGGCATCCCGAAAGCAACCCGAAAGGCACCGAAACTCCCAACTGCCACCCAATCAGAGCCAACATGCAACCGCATGTGCAAGTGAGGCTGGTGATGCTGGGGATGAGGCCAATTTTCCAAATGGCTCCCAGCAGAAAATTGAGGATGCCGCCTCTTCCAAGCCAGAACACACTAAAGCAGGTGATTCTGGGGATGTTGCCAACCCAACAAAAACCGGCGCTACGAAAACACAGGCCTAGGAAAAGGCAACAACACCTCTACCGGATTTGGTTGGATGGTTGGAGGGTTGGATGTGGATTGCCGGATTTTGGTTTTGCATGGATTTTAATTGGGTGACCCTTCTTTTTTTTTTAATTTGCTGGTAGGCCAAAGGCAACCAAAAGGAAACCACCCATCGCACCGATTTTAGTGGTTGGATTGAATCGGATGTTCACTGTGGGGCTTTCCGGGCTTTTGACCCATGGCCAATGTTGGTTCGCCTGAGGGCTCGCGCTGTTCATCGGGACCGGGGGAGGAAGAGGTGGAATTCAGTGGGCCCTTACGGAAACGAAGTCCATGGTGTATTTTGTAGGTCGCATCACCAAAAATGGAAGGTTTTCCTGTTGGTTTCCCACAAGTACCAAAAAAGGGGTACCCTCAAAAACAGACTTCCATGTTGAGAAGCCACCTCTTTGTGTCTTTGGGGTTTCCATTCCAAGCCCTGGCAAGGCTCCAGGGGGTCTCTTTACAAGAGTTGGGTGCCGCAATCTCTGTGTCCGTGGAGTCGCCGCGTGGATTCCCTGAAGGCACAAAGGATACCGAACGTGGCGTCCAAGGTTGGTCAGTTCGGGAGGGACGGCCGCGGTTTCAGTTTGCGTCAAGAAATCATTCTCCAGCATCTACTTTTCCAAAAGGACACCTGCCGCAAGCCTTGGAAAGCCCAGGAAATCAACCGACGCCTTAGAAAACCCTTAGGCACATGCTGAGAACCCGGTGGGTTTACCAGTCGAAGCGTTTGGCTACAGGAAAATCCACAGGAAACGGCAACAAAAAAACACCCTAGATGAGCTGTTTCCGGTCGCATTTCCTGTAGCCAAACCCTTTGATCCAGGCAAACCGTGGGAAACTCGTGGGTTCGTCGGACATGAGGCGCTGGAGGCGCTGGAGGTCTCTGAGGAACCGGCCAGCTCTTCCTCCGGCGCCAGGGCCGAGGGGGGGGGCTGCCGGGGGGTGCGAGAGGTGGGGTCCAAGCGCATTTCACCCGAGTTTTGATCATTTGGGTACGGGTCAAAACCGTTTTGGTTGACCCATTTCGGGGTGGGTGCACCAGCCATTTTAGAACCTATTTTAGTGGGGATTGGGATGTTCACTGGGGGTACGGGATTTTGACCCATGGCCATTTGTTAGCCTCTTTGAACGGAGGGTGTGTCTCTGTAGCTGATGGCCAGTTGCTTGAAGGTACATGGCGAGTTTTTCAGGACCTCTGTTTGGCACAACTGCATCCTCAGATGTTCGGCCAGGAGACTCTGAAGGAACCGGTGTTGTTTGTTTGAATTCACATTGACCGTTTGGTTTTGGCTCTGCTGATAGGCTTTTGACCAGGCAAGTGAGTGAGCAATTGGCTCGCCAGATGGCTATGGGTCAAAACTCCCTCCCAGTGAACATCTCAATCTCCACTAAAATTGGTAGCCTAAAACTTGTGGTGAATTCACCCACCCCAAAACGGGATCCCATGGGTCTTGACCGGCCATATCTTTGATTTACATCCTCGGGGCTCGGCGGCTGTGAGTTCACTTCCCCAGGTGCTGGGCACCTCGCGAACTCAACATTGAACAACAAACTTCGTCAACTCCAAAGAGCATCATATTCGTATTCACCCAAAATAACTAGGGGCGTGTTTTTTTGAGGGTCCCCCTTTGTGGTGGTTCTAGAGGGAAACCAAAAGGATACCACTTATTTGTTGGGATCATCTTACTTTGAGACAGACTGTGGGGAATTGGGAAGTGGGGAATATGGTTTTCACGCAAAAATCATATTTGTATCCAATCCAGTACTTGAAGTCCAGTACTTGAAGGAATACCCTCTCGTTCACCAACACGGCTGACAGTGTGAGTCCCTCCAAGTGGGATTTCTGATCTTTCAGGTACCTCACAGTTGCCGTGGCAGGTTTCTGAAGAAACCAGTGGCTCGTTTCCTTTGAAGAAGTTTCTTTTTTGGAGACCAACAGGAAACCATCCTTTCTGTTTGTGGGAGGGAGGCTACAATGGACGAAATCCTTGCACCACCTAAGATGATGATTCCCCTGTGAATGCTAACTAGTGGGTTTTTCCCCCGGTTTCCAGGCGGTGCGAAATGGATTTCGTCCATCCAGTGTGTCTTGCGAAGGGCTTTCGGCGTTCGGCTTTCCGAGGCCCGGCGCGGAGCGAGCTTCCGGAGCTGCCGGCGCTGCGCTGGCAGCAAGGGGCGCGGATCTGGGCCATGCTGCAGCGCCTCGGGCTTGCCCGGGGCCGGAGGTTGGGGGGACCCTCCCGGGTCCCCATCCCCCATCCCCCCCTCCTCCCCTCCCACCCTTTTGGTTTCGGGAAACCGGTTTCGGGGTGTGTGGTTTCTGGGGGGGTCGATCTGTAGGAGGGGTTTGGGTTTCTGGGTGTGTCGGGGGTCGATTTTTGTCGTTTTTGTTTGGGGGGGACCCCCTCCTTGTGGTTTGGGGAAAGCAACAAGGATACAAGCATGGTCTTGGTTTGTAAGGTGCACTTGTCTGGGAGGAGGAGTTGGGTGTGGGTCCCCATTTTTGGACCCCACAGTAGACTCAAATTGTCCCTCTTAAAAGGATTGGCGGAAACAAAAGGGCATTGGTTTGGGGGTTCCCCTATTCTGAGACGAACCCATGTTTGAAGGGTCCTCCACCCTCCCCTCACCCTCATGTCTCCACATAGTCAGTGGATATTCCCAGTTCACAAGTTCCGTGAGTTTTTGTGTAATTGTTACTTGGACTTAATACCTGGGGATATATATGTCTATGTATATGTATGTATGTATATATATATATATGTATATATATATATATATCTTCCCGGGCCTCTATTGCGCTCCTTGGGCTGTACCTTTAAGGTCCAAAGTGTCAATGTGCGACGGGCTCTTGGGACGGCCGAAGAACACAAACGGACGAGAAATGGAGACCAGTTCTGGGATTCGGTCGTGCTGCAAAGTCTAAAGAGGGCCCGAACAGAGTTGTCCGATGATTTTGAAGCTCATTCCAGACACGAGCGTGTCCGAATTGGGAGCCTTTGACACTGCAGGGTTCTCTTGTTCTCCCAGCGTGGTTGGAACATCACGGTTTTCTTGCCAAGTTTACTCAGGGAACCCTAAATGGGTTCTGATGAACGGGCAGCCTGCCCATGGCTGCAAACAGGTTCGACCAGAAGAAGGTGTGCCTTCTTTGGCAGTGCCCGAAAAAACCCAGCAGGATTTTATACCCGAAACTTGTCATTCCCTCGACCTGAAACAGCCAGAACGAAACAGCAACCAAAAGTCAGGTCCCTCTTTGGCCGCACAAGGGCCACCATTTTGGACAACCCCCCGCAGGGTTGGACTAGATTTTGCATCTGAACACTCACCAAAAGGAAACTTACTTAGATTGGGTAGCTCTGAATGGGCTCTAACAAATGGGTTGCAGGATGCTACACACATTGTCCTTTGGTGGGATAGGTCCAATCCACGCAACCCGCAACAATCCACAAAATGCTGCTGGATTCTAGGACTGTTGGGTCTGCAATAGAATTGGTCTTCCAAATGGGGCCAAACCCACGATCCGACACTCCTTTCGGGACCTGGGGTTTTCGCACTCTTTGCACTGCCCCAAAACGGACCCTAAAAAGGGCCACCTTCTTGTGAACACAGTAAACTTTAGGTATGTTTCCCGGCGCTAGTGGGGAAATCAGGCGAATCTTCATGCCATCCGTGAGGGAACCATTATCGGCGCACGGAATTTTGCAGACAAATGATCCGACGCCCATTCCTCGCGCGTCGTTCGGAACACGAGAGCGCTGACAAACCAGTCCAGCACGGAAAGGATGGATGTTGTGCATTCGCTGGAGCCAATGGCAGCGGGCTTGTTCAAAGGAGATGTAAGCATTAGATCAACCCGAGTTGCCCCTTTCATGGCCTTCTTTGAGTTTATGGCACCCGGCAACGAGACCACCCTTTGAAGGGTTCGTTTGCCACCATGAAATCGAACAACCCAAGGCTCGCTGAAGTGACGGTCGCTGTAAGAGCTGTAGTTCCAAAGTGGCAATAGGGGGAAGTCTGCCTATTTTTGTGGAGGGTCCGCCGAGTTCTGGGGAGGCTCCCAAAATGAGAGTTTTTTCTTTCCCGCCCTGCTAAAATTTGGCATCGCGTGATTGTCCAGTTCCCCTATATTTCCCCTGACTTACATCTGCTTTTGGGCCTCTTGTCCACCAGCTTCCTCATCGGGGCGATGTTTTTCAGGCGGAAGAGAAGGGCAAATCGGGTGTAGCGGCTATGCCATCAAGTCCACCAGGGTCAAGCAATTGATTCAAGTTTGCCCTGGTGCAGGAGATACCTTATATTCTTCGACCGCTCAGCCGAGCTTTGGACTGAGCAACCCCTTGACACATATTTCAAGTGTGCCAGTGTATCTGCAACATCACGACTGCTCAAAAGCTGATGAGAGGAGGGCGCCTTCCTGGGTGCTTATTGCAACTTCTTTGGGATGGGATCCTAATTTAATTTACTTACTCCTTTGCCTTTTTGGGAAACACCCGAGCAAAACCTGCACTGTGATTTGCAAGTCACATAGGAGGCGTACTGTGGACGAAATCCTTTCGCACCACTTTGAAACCGGTTGAAACTATGGTTTGCTGCAGAGGAATCGAACCATTGGGTTTCTTTATTCGGTGCGAAATGGATTTCCTCCATCCACAAGAAACGAAAGGCTAAGAGTCATATCATCGGATTTACGTGCTTTAAGCCCTGCGACCTGAGAAGATTGGTGCTATCAGGCTGGGGCTCCTGACATCTGGGAGGCGCCGGATGATCCTGCAGAAGGTGGGGCTGCAACCTGGCGCAAGTGGCCCTGAGCCACGTCCTCAAAACCGATTCGGGTAGATGAAGCTTAGTAAGGGACGATCCCAGCCAGAAACGGCCGCCTTTGTATTTCCTTGCATGGTTCCGGGTCAACCATTTTAGTACCGGGCTTTGATTGTGACTCACACGACCCCTTGGCTTGGTTTGGATTGGTTTGTGGATCTGGAGCACCCCCGTTTCTCGCGAAGAACATGGGAATGTGCACCCTATCCTCTAAACTGGCAAACCGAACCCACGTGAGCTGAAGCTGGAGACTGCGCTTGAGGTTGGTTGCATCCGAGTGAGTCTGGGAAACGGGGGCTTCCTGGCTCTCTCTTGGATGGCAGTCGAACTGTCCTTAGCTGCTCGCGCCAGCTTGCACGGTTCCAACTTTGTTTGCCTGCAGATCGCATTGGCCCCGAATTTCACAGGTGTCTTTCTGTTCCAAGTCCCAGACCAGTCTTCTTTCGCACCCCAAACCCCCTGGGAGGGCGGTGGGGTGGGGTGGGGCAAGTGCTTCAAGGGCAGGGGCAGACAAAGCACGTCTTGACCATGGATCTTTCTTGTCACTTCTCAGGTGTTGTGTCCAAGTCTCGGACCTGTCGTTTCACCAGACCTCTCCTGGAAAAACCAAGGATGCTGCTGCTCCTGCACGCGAGGACAAACCTCTACTGGAGATTCTGCCAGAGCCTTGCAGGCTCCGCAATTTTGCTTGCGCACCATGTTCCTGCAGCCAGACCCTGCGGGAGTCTGTTGAGCGGTGCCCTAAAGGCAATCCTTTCTTTTGGGGGAAGCCTCCGCCGATGAAGACATCCAGTGTATTCCAGGATCGAAACTGGGAGTTTGAGGACTGGTCTTATGGATTCCCCCCAAGACATGGGCCATGGCTGACGACCAACCACCCGGACCCGGACTGGTGGGAATCATTGGTTGATTTGTGTCCAACCACCTTTGTGGTTCCTCGAAGATGCACAGCCGAGTCTTAAATGCTTAAACCATGGATGGATCTCCAGGTCAAGTACTTATGTAGCATCCTTTGTATCGAACTGAACAGTTTGCAAAGGGATCGAATTCATCTGCGCTTCGAAGCGTCTGCCCATGGAGGCATTCTGCACTCGCTGGTGGCGCGGGATCTGGCGCAGCTGGCGCGGCGGGGTTTCTTGGCGGCGCTGCTGTCGCTGGGCGGCGGCTTCGCAGATCAGGCCTTGAGGCGCCGGCACGCGTGAGTCGGTGGCCGGTTCGCGCCAGTTTTTTAGAGGCGTCGGAGGTCGTCTGGTTGTCAAAACCGTTTTGGGATCCCATTTTGGGGTAGGTGAATGCACCACCCGTTTTAGGCTACCTACTTTAGTGGGGATTGGGACGTTCACTGGGGGTACGGGATTTTGACCCATGGCCATGTGAGCGGCTTTTTCTTCTTGGCAATTGGTCATAGGTTTTTGGTCTGCAAAGGAAGGGAGCGATTTGATATGGCACCTTGCATGGCAAAGCACAGTTCCGGCAAACTGGTTTGGGTCAAGGAATATGCCTGCAGTGTTGCGCTTGATCCCAGCCGTTTGCGCTTAGCCTTTCGGTCATGGCAGCTGTGACAGCCAATGCAAGTGTTTGCACCCGGTGCAAGCGCAGCGGACACATTGCGGCCATGTGCAAGGAGTCCTTCATTCTGCAGTGCAAGTACTGCAAGGAGCTGGGTCACCGGGTCTCGGCCTGCCCAAGGCTGCAGGAAAAGGAGAAGCAACTCACGGCGAGGTTGGAGAAGCGGGAGAGGGAGAGGGAGGATTCCCGGAGCGTGGCTTCAGTGAGCACGGCTACTGCGACTACTGTGAGCGCGACTTCACTGGGAAGCGCCGACACGGATTCCAAGTGGACGTCGAAGGAATGGAAGGAATGGCAGGAATGGCAGGCAAGGCCGCGAGTCAAGTTCCTCAGTGAGGAGGAGTCGTGTGAGGCGCGGAAGTTGGAGAAGAAGCTGCGCGAGATTGGAGCCTTGGAGCAGAAGAGTGCGGAGGGCGCATGTCTGGATGTGCTCCAACAGAAGAAGCTGGAGACCAAGGCCGAGCTGGAGAATCACGAGGTCATGCGCAAGCTGCGCATGGGATATGTGCGTGTCACTCAGAAGTAGATCTGAATCTGTGCAGTTTTGGGCAAGTTGCCCCTTTTCGAGAGAGTTGCAAAGAGGCCGTGGCGTCCCCTGTGCAGTGTACAGTTCGGCCAGCAAGAAGCGCCCAGATCCATTGCAAAAGAGCGAGGAGTTTTTCCAGACGCATGGGCCTTGGGGTATTTGCCCAACCAGGGGCCCTTTCTGGCATGGCGAAGAAATTAACCAAACTGAACCTTGATGTTTGGAGTGATTGCCCCCAAAACAAACAGTGGTCGCCTTTTGATTTCCCTTGGTCCAGCGCTCAAACCACACCCAGCCCCATACAGGCTCGGCTTTGCCACTCGGCTGCAGGGCCTGTTTCTCGTTCTTTGCTTAAAGATCTGGAAAACTTCCTCCTGAGTGGCGATGTCTTCAAGTTTTCCTTCTATTTCACCATCCGCACCATCCAAGAAGGCGCGCTCCACAACCCACCTCCCCTTCAACCCCTGTCAACCCCGGTTTTGCTTCCCTTCCTTCCTTCCCTTCGCTTCCCTTCGGGCTGGGGCCTTTGGCGAGGCATCCCATCCCATCCCTCATCCCTGCGTGCGCGTTTCGGACGCAAACACAGGTGTCCTTTGAGGTCAGTTTCGACATCGTCGGCGCTTAGATGGGTCTTCTGCCCCATTTGCCAGGGATTTTACCAGGGCCCCCAAACCCCCCCCTCCAACCCCCCCCCCCCAAAAACCCCCCCAAAACCCCCCACCCCCCACCCCCCCCCCATCCCCCCAAACCCACGCGTTCGCAAGCGCAACAAAAAACCCCGGCGCTGCTCTCCGCACTTCCGCAGGTACCAGGCGAAGCTGGCCACCGTTGAGCTCTGGAGTGGCGCCGTGGCGCACTTGCAGCGCAAGATGCTGCGGGACCGGGAGCCGCTGCTGCGCCCGGAGGCGGGAGGGGAGGCGGGGGGAAGCGGCTGGGAGAAGGGGGGGGGGGATTTGGGGGGAGGGGCGAAGGAGAAACATAGTAAAACAAACATGTATAGCACTCCTTCAACCCTTCTTTTTAAAATAATAATTTACAAACTATTTCATAAATATCCATCAACATATTATATAAGGTTAATAGTTTATATCACATATTAACCTTATACAATTTTATGTAAAGTATTTAATAATAAAAAGTAATACTAGTTTTCCTCAGCCCGTTTCATTTCTAAATTTATTTGATGCTTCTTTGTTTTGTTATGTATATAAAAACGTGTTTGTGTCATTGTAGAGTTACAAACTTCACAACTAACGATTTTAGAGACCTTACATTATTTTCCGCCAGTTTGTTTTTTTCTATATTCCTCATCTTCTCTAAATCTTATTCTCTGTGCTTCATTATAGTTGTCTTTATGCTTTGCTCTATGATTTACATTATATTCGTTACATTTTCTACAACATAATCTACCTTCTTCAAAATCATCTAATGTTTTATATTGTCTACATTTATCGCAAAATTCAGTTTTATTTTCTCCCACAATCCTACAATCAATATTCCTTGAAACTAAGATCACTGAAAATAGGTTCAACACATTATTATTATTTTTTTATTGTAAGCTTTATGGATATTTTATAACTTAAGTTCAGGATAAAAAAAAAAAACAAAACTTGATGACGAGATAAAGTTCGATATTCCTTACTTCTTTCATACATCATTTTAATAATAGCATTTGTATCTCTAACTGTATTTTTAATATCAAACTTTTTACCTTCAATAAATAGTTTTTTTGTTTTTTTCAAACTTCTCCCTCCTTTTGATGATAAACCAACATCCATAATATGCGGTCTATCATTTCATACTTTCTCTTACTGATTTACAATAAAGAAAATGATTACCATAATCATACGGTGGGATTTTGTAAACAGTAAGAACTATTATACTATCGTCTTCAACATGTCCATTGTATCTTCTGTTAATGTTCAAATAACACTTGATTGATTCTTGATTATCTCTCCATTCCTGACAATCATCACATTCATCATCTTTACCCATTGAATAACCAATAATATTATTAACTATTCCATTAGGTAAATTCAATTTGTATAGTTACACATTTTCTTTTTTGAAGTGGCAACAGTCATAGCATTTCTTATTAATCTACTTATTGATTTCAATACCGTTCATTTTCTCACGAATATATTAAGTCCTTATTTCCTTAAGTCATTTTCAAACATTTAAGCATACATATTTCAATTCTATGGCATTAAACCATAAATCTTACAATTTATATTTTGTTGTTGTGAGAATTATGGCTTATAAGTAAAAGTCATCCATCTCTTGAAATGTTACTATTAGTTCATCTGTTTCACTTTCAGTATCAGTGTCTTCATTGAATAGCACTTCATTTAACTTATCTGCTATTTCAATTCCAAAGCTTTCTCCACAAAGATGATTATGATGTTCATCTTCATTTATATCAATATAATGTAGAATATGAATGTTTATATATATATATTTTTAACAAGTTATTTAATTCATCATAGGCATGTTCAATGTTTTCTCCATTCATCTCCCATAAATAATTTATAGTGTTTCTTTTCCGATGTTTCCATTGATTCTCTTGTTTAATGCTCCAATATAAAATTTGTAAAAGTTGGTGATGTCTGTTGCTCAAATTAGCTAATTTTGGTATTCGTCTTAACTCAACTCATTCAGTGTTGGTACATTGTCATCACCCTTCAAATCAAAGTAATATGCCAGTTTGATACTATGTAAATCAAAGTTGTCATATCAGTTTCTATGATTTATAAATCATTATCATTTCTTCACATTTTTCACACCTGTAATTGGTCGATGTTTTTGATAATATCTAATGGTAATGATTTGGATGTCATTTGTAGTCTGACAGTTGTTTAGCACATTCCTTACAGAAATAGACATATAATTACTTAATACTGATTGTTTTCCTTTGTCTAAATCTTCATAGGTATTGATTTTATATAAACTTACATCGCTTTCAGTATCACTCATTTTTCTCTAATATATATTAAGTCATTATTCCTTTAAGTCATTTTTAAAGAATTGTTAATATGTTTTGTAGTTCTATTGTGTCTCGCTAGATTACCCTTAATTATACAATTACATACTTTACATTCAACAAACTTTAGTTTTTTGTTTTGCTAGAATTGTTGTTGTTTTCTCTTTAATAATATTCTTTCTTACTTTTCCTTAGTTGTTCTTTATTCTTATCTCTATATTCTTTACAGTATTCTTTCATTTCTGGTTTATGATTATCTCTGTATTCTTGGTATTTGTCTTTTCTTTCTTCTTTTGTTCTTTCATACCATTCCTTTAACCCTTGCTTAATCTTTTCTTTGTTATTAATATTATACATGTCTTTACATACTTTTGGTGTTCTTCCTGACACACAGCGATTTACACAGTCTCTATTCTGAATATAAATGCATTCCTGCTTTAAAAGTTCTTCTTTACTTTTACAAGGGAAATTTTCAATTAGTTCTATCTTACAATTTTCAACTCCATACTGATTTTTAAGATTATATATGAAGTAATTATATTTTTTATAATCTGCCCCTATGCCTTTCCATTCTTTTACTTAATTTCTCACAAGTAGAACCTACATAACAAAGGTTACAACCTTTATCAACTATTTTGTAACTCTTTCCATTTTCATACCTATTCATACCACTATTTACCATAATATATCACCTATTCTTTGCTAATGTTGGAACATGTGGAAACATGGCTTGTGTGAGGAATGCTTGACCAACATGGCATGTGCCATTTTGGCTCAAGCTCGGACCAACTGGTCTGAGATTTGATAAAGCTATCGCCTCAGTACCCACTCCCCCTCTCTTGCCATGGCTTCTTCTACCTCGGCAACTTCGTTCGGGCTGGTGGAGGATCAGCGCCTCTCGGAGGAGGAGACTGCGTTAGCGGAGATGGAGCTCGAGGGCAGCCGCGCCTCTTGGTTTTCTTTGTGTCGAAGACGGAGCCCCGGCTCCCGCCCAAGGCCGACGATGAGGCTGTTCGCCAGGATAGGGAGCACATGGTCCGGACCCAGTACCGCATGTCGGAGCACGCCAGGCATTCGAGGTGTACCACCCGCAAATTGACCAGGCCGCTGCGGCGCAGGCCAGACTGTTTGTGATAATGTTAATATTGCTACTGATGGTAAATTAACAACTGGTACGAATTGTGAATTATACAGAAATGTTAGTGCTTTTTATCATTTGATATTAGAAATACTGATAATTCCTCAATTAGGTTCATTTGTGGAGACCCTGCCGTTCAGTCTAATATCGTTGGACGTTGGAGCTGTTGATATTTCTACCGGATGGACTTTTAACACTGCCACTGCTGATGTTATTGGAAATTTATTTGCTGATGATGTTTATGTTAAAACTGGTGGAGCATGAAGAAGTACTCATATAGCGCCTAATGGTGGCACATTAGTATCCTTTCATACTAGTTTAGCATTTCCAAATGCTTATTTAGCAACTAGTACCATTCAATCATTTGACTTAACAACGGTTTCATTTTTAGATACTATTTCATTAGCTACTGGAACAGATATATTACTGGGAACAAGTGAAATATCAACTTATTATGATGGAGCCAATTTATCTACAATTCATGTAATATTCAGAACAACAAACACAGCATTTAGAGTAGCAGATGAAACATTTGGAACAACAATAATGTGGTTCATCAGTGGCGGTCTGGTATATTTTATAAATTAGTTTCTTGCTTTCGTGTAAACTATCGCTTCTAACAATTGCTGAGAATTCATCTTGCAATATTTCAATGTCTTTGAAGTTTCTAACTTTGTAATACAACAAATGACTTATATTTACTCTAATAATTGGTGGCACGGTTGATGATTTTTGAAGACTGACACGCGTTGATATTCCACTATGACGACCTCTACAAATACAGAAATTAACCATTTGTTCTTGCTTGCTGCTGCTGGATTATCAGATACATCATCCAATATAACTAATATATTAAATAACTTCTTCATTCCTTGTTTTTCTGATATTCAGTTATTTTATTTTTAGACTTTCTTTAATGTATTTTTTAACAGGCAAGCACATACTATCCAAATTTTCTGGTGGCGACCAGATATAAACTCTTTCAAACGCTCCTCTATAAATATCAAGTATCATTGATACAAGCAAAGTTGATTGCCAGAACCTGACGGGCCTACAATCATCGCTCTCATCGGCAATTTAGGGACAACCTCGTGCATACTTTGTTTAAAGTCATATTTGCTTTCATCATTTGGTTTTACATCAGGCATAATAAAGTAATATCATAATTACATATAAAGTAAGAATAGATTCACACCGACAGCTGCTCAAGCGTAGCTTGTGTGGCCGCGTCCGCCAACCGCTCTTCCAAGGAAACCCCGACGGGCGTATGGAAACTTATGAAATGCTTACCGCAGATTGCCAGGTTTCGCCCCATTGACTGGAGCGTAGTTCTCAGGGCTGTTGCCAGGGCATTCTAGCCTTATTCATGATCAAACACGTAACTTGTCAAAACACTTCTGGGCAGAGTCAAGGCATGCAGGCTCTTTTAGTGAGGGGATTGGGCACCTGGAGACAAACAATGGCCCACAAATCTTGCGAGTTGCGCCCAGCGGTTCGCCATGGTTTGCCAATGTGGTGCCTGAAGCCCGTTGGCAGAGATTAGCAGTTAGCAAGCGCTTGCCACATATTTGGGGGGTGGGGCGCTTGCCCAGCCCAGCCTTTATTTTTTCAGCTGTGTTCATCGCCGTTCTTGTTTCCCCGTATCACACCAGTGTCATGTCGTGGTACTCGTGGGAGTGCTCCCGCGACGCCAACAAGGCGCGCAATGAAAAGCCCCGCCATTGCAATTCTGATCATGTTGATACTGATTTGGAGCCAGGCTGCCATGGCGCGCATGTTCCCGAAGCATTGGGCAACCATGGAGCAGTTTGAGGTTCGGGCTTGTTGCGTGTCGGCCATGTGCGCGCACGACCTGGTCAGATCATGGATGCCGTTGCGGAGCTTCAGCAAGTGCGCGAGGCGGTGCTGCCATTTCAGGCGCCCCTGGAGCCCGGGTTCTGCTTCTTGCAGTCTTGAGCGCAGGTGCAAAGGGCTTTCCGGGCTGTAACCATATAGTAATGCAAAGAGCGTAAATTGATCTAAGCGATGTATATTATGTAGGTAGCACATATATATTTGGTGATCTCAGGATACCTTGGACTAACCAAATGTGTTGGTTCAACGTTAGGTTATTGACTTTCATCAACAACAGAAGTATAATTTTACCTAAACCATCAGTTGAAAGTGATGGTAAACTAAAATTTCAGAAAGTAAACAAATTTTATGAAAGATTATCCCGATAGAAAAAACCGAAATGATACATGCTGTAGAAGAAGTCAGTAATAATAATACTAGATGTTGATGAACTAGCAGCAATGACATTTAATAAAGATAGCCGATTTAAATAAATAGTTATAATCAATATTAAATGGAACATCATTATGTTATGAGTGGTGCAACAGCATAATGGACGCCTCGCCAGAGGCTCGCGTGCTAACGCGACCAGGTTTTCCATTGCTTCAATCAATAAGCGTTGAAGATACTTGGTTGATACAGTGCTAAGAAAACCCCATTGCTGAGCCCGATTATGCTAAAATACTCAGATTAGATAAATATTTATGATTATTTTGTCTTACTATTTATATGACTATCGTTCATTGTAGTTGTGGTAAAACTTATGATGACAAGCATTTATTTGAACATCTAAATATAAACCATCATCAGAATATTGTAGAATATAGATGGAATAGAAAAACTAGCAAAGACAGGAATGAAAGAAATGAAAGAAATGAAGCAGTAATTTATCTTATTACTTATATGAATAGAAGTTGTAATAGCGGATAATAAAACTAAAAAATGTTGTTATTCGTTAGAATTAATACGAAATGTAATATAAATGCCAAAAAAGAAAAAGAGTAAAAGCAAAGAAAGACCAATGCCAGAGGTTCAAGAAAGAATTATAACAACAGAAAGTGTTAAATCAATGGGAGAACGTAAAGCTATAAAATGTGATAAATGTAATCACGTTATGAATTTTAAGAATGAATTGACAGTAGATAAAAAAAGGTAGTGGTAAGGTTAGTTGTGTTCCTTGTATGTTTTCATATACAAAGTCAGATAGAGATTTAAATATTAAGAAAAAGTGGTGGTGATTTGGTTATTGGTATTTATGGAAGAATATTTTCTAAATTGTTCTGATAATTAATATGAGTTTATGAGGGAAATGTTTCCCAAGGTTTGGGGATTTGACTCCCAAGGATAGGGGATTTGACTCCCAAGGTTAGGGGGTTTGACTCCTAAGGTTAGGGGATTTGACCCCCAAGGTTAGGGGATTTGACTCCCAAGGTTAGGTGGTGCCACCAGAAAACCCGAAAAGGAATAACCGCATAAACCTTACAATAAAATTAAACTGTAAGATTTATATTGTAAATTTCAAGGGTTTTTAGTTTCAAGGAATATTGACGAAAGGAAAACCACTCAAAGGATTGTAGGCATTATATATTCAGGATTATAGGAGAGAATAAAAACTGAATTTTGCGATAAATGTAGAAAGACAAAACCTTTAGATGAATTTGAAGAAGGTAGGTTATGTTGTAGAAAATGTAATGAATATAATGTAAATCATAGAGCGAGGCATAAGGACAGATATAATGAAGCACAAAGAATAAGATTTAGAGAAGATGGGGAGTATAGAAAAAAGAAACTGGCTGAAAATAATGTAAGGTCTCTAAAAATTGTTAGTTGTGATGTTTGTAATTGTTCTATGAGACAAGAGCATTTTTTTAAAACAACACATAGCCAAACAAAGAAGCATGAAATAAACTTAGAAATGAAACAGTTGAAGAAGCTTGATATCATTTTTACCAGACATTGTTCGACATAAAATTGTATCGTGTTAATATGCAATAAAACTTGTTAACCTTATATAATATTTGGTGGATATTTATGAAATCTTCGTGACAGTAATATTCTAAAAGAAGGGTTGCAGGAGTGCTATAAATAAATGCTTTGCTATTTTTAGGGGAGGGGAGGGGGGATCCGATTTTTTTTTAATTTGCGTGCGTTTCTTTTTTTAATTTAACTGGGGCTGGTCCCCTGGTTGGTTGGTTGGTTGGTGGGTGGGTGGGTGGGTGGGTGGGTGGGTGGTTGCTTGGTTGCTTGGTTGCTTGGTTGCTTGGTTGGTGGGTGGGTGGGTGGGTGATTGGTTGGTTGGTTGGTTAGTTACTGGGGGAGGGAGGTGGTGGGGGGGAGGGGATGGGTGGGGGGAGGCACCACTGGGAGGGGGAGTGGCTGGGTCACTTTTTTTTTTTGGGGGGTGGCTGGGTATATACTAATACCCCCTTGTTCTTTTTGGTTTGGAAAGGGAAATGAATCCATTATGGGGGTGACCAGTACTTCTGCGGGGGTTCACAACCCCTGGCTGCCAAACCCCGTCTTTTTGGTTTTTGGGGTCACCTGAAAGTTCCTGAAGAGATGAGATGTGGAGGTTTGCGAGGGCGGGGTTTGCCAGTTTGCGAACGGGGCCCACTACCTTCCTTTTTGGTTGAAACGTCATCTCTTGGGCTTTGTTTTTTTTGGGGTTGGAAGGTCATGTTCTGTTCTGATTACCTCGGTTTGAAACATCACTCACCCTTCTGGGCCCAAGGTGAATTTACCTTCATAGTGGCGTCTCAAGTGGAGAGGTGAATTTCCCTTGGTGGTGGCATCTCAAGGGGAGAATTGCGAGGAAGTGGAGAGGCCTGTCGGGTTTGGAGGCTTTCTGGGGTCTCCGGCTGTGGTTGCATTTGGTTCCTGGTTTCGGTTAGGCTTCCGGCTCCTTGGGCGTAGGTTTTTTCGTTTACTTCCCCTGGGTTCCCGTTTGGCCCCAGGGGCGATTTTCACTCTGGGCCAAGGGTGTCGCACTTTTTGTTGGCTGGCTTGGCTGGCTTGGCTGGCTTGCTTGGCTTGCTTGCTTCTGGCTTGGTTGGTGGGTTGGTTGGTTGCTTGCTTGGTTGGTAGGCAGGTAGGTAGGAACATGTATCTGGGAAGCACTCATCGGAAGCAACACTACATAGCAGAAGCACCGGTCGCATTGGCACACTGGCATCGGAAGGCCGAAACTTAGGAGGCCTTGGGTGGATTGACCGATTGCCGGTTTTTGAGCGGGGTGCTAGCTGTGATTTCTGGCTGCTGCTGGTAGCCATGAGGATCCAATGTGACCGAGCTCCAGCGCAGGATAAGTTTGCACGTGCTTCTTGTGACATCCACGTGAAACTCAAGGCATCCCCTGCCTGGTTGCTTGTCGGTGTCCCCGTAAAGCCCATAGCTGTCCTGGTTGCTCCGGTTCAAAACTCGAGGGCGATTCCTGGTTTACCTGAACCTCACCCCAGGGCCATTCCTATTTTCGGACACCTAGGGTAAAGCCGGATGCCAGTCCCCCCCCCCCCAAAAAAAAAAACGCCCCCAACCCGCAACCCGCACTGGGAGTGCCGGTCGGAAGCGAGGTGGAGCCGATGCGGCTCGCGGAAGTGCGAGGGCTGTTCGAGGCCGCCCGCAAAACAAGAGACGCACGGCTTTCGAGGGGTTTTCGGGCCAACTCATCGTGCCCCTCGAGTGGTTTGGATTGGTAGGGGTTTGAGGGACCTGGTTCAAAACAGACACCAAAAGGACACCAACCATTTTGGGGGGTTCTCAAAAAAACGAGCCCAGGTTTGGTTTGCAAAGCCATGCCGCAAATTTTGGAGATCTTGCATCCGATTCTCCAAAACCACGCGGGGGACCGTTAAAAAGAGACGATGCTTTGCTTTGGGCATTCGGTGCTCGCGGCTCTCTAGCCAATGGGATGACTGGTGACCAAGGCTGCATTGACCAAGACGATGTTAGCGGTGAGATGCAAGCAGTCTCAGAATCTCTCTGAGAGCATTCTTCGTGGTGGACATCATTTAGGTGGGTTGGAAGAAACGGCATGCAATCTAGCGGCCACTCTTTGCCACAGCGGAAGCCGGTGCATGTGGGGATGTCTCAAAAATGGAAAATTGTTCTGGGCTTGAAAGGGCGGCCGGCATGATCGCCTGACCTGAAGCCCTCTCGCCGGTTCCATTTCTCAAGCAGTCTCCCACACAAACCAGCAATGATTCACCGTCCGACTCAAAGCAATTTTCAAAGGCGGCCAACAAGCTCTTTGCCCGAGTTCCAGGCACTTAGAAGCGTATTCCTTGGCCAATCCACTGAGAAAGTGAGTCCCCTTGGGTGGTTTTACACATCACCTTTGGTTGCGGTTGAGCTGATCTTATGGGAGGCACCCTGCAAAATAATCATGAACCTGAAAAAGTATCCCGAAATGAACATGGTCTTGGGGGTCCCTTTCGAGGTCAGAGCGCCACCACAAAACTGATAAAACCGGGAAACAAAAAACAGGCACGGGCTTTTCATTGTACCTGGAACCCTCCAAAACCCCACGAACCCCCAACCCTATGACGAAAACAGTGGAGTTTCCCTTGAACTTGGGTATGGGTCAAAATCAAACCACCAGGATATGGACTGCAAGTTTTCAGTCCTTCTTTTCAGTTACTGTATTAGGGTTCCTATTTTTGACTAGATTGGGCCCTTCCCAGCCATGCCTGTCTTGGCGGTTCCCAGTCGTCCGGTTCCTTAGCCTTTTTAGTTGATTTAGTGGCTGCGGGTTCCGTATTTCGAACCACCAAGAGTGCGTGACTTTTTCGCCGGGGATCAGACACCGGAGAGCCAAACACATGGAACGGAGGATATGGAGAGCCCAGGTTTGGAGGAGCTCCAGTTGCCCAACGCCGACCTTTTGACCTTCTGGAATCCCCGACTTTGGCCAATTTTTCGTCACCCCAAAAGGTGATCGCCTTATATTTTCAGGCAACTGGGGCAACTGAGTAGATCATGTCGACTTTATCTTCATCAATTCCTTTTTAATATTAGCATTCATTTTATCAAGCAGACTTACAGTTCTCTCTTTGGGCCAAAGGGCCCCTCCCTAGCGAGAGAGTCACGGGCACGCAGCACCTCGCCGCCGCCGAAGCCGCGCGCGGCCGAAACCGCGCGCCGGCCGCGCGCGGCCGCGCGCGGGATCTTCGGTTGAGCCGAGGGCCTGGGCTCCACGGCCTGCGAGGCGCTGCTGGCGCTGGCGCAGCTGGCCTTTGTGGCGCCCGCGCTGGCGGGGGGGAGGGGGGGGGGGGGGTTGGGAGGGGGGGGGGTGGAATCCATGGCCAAAGTTCTGGCTAGGGCGGGTGAAAATAGATTGGCTTTGCAAGTTGTTGTGGAGGTTTGGGGAGGTTTGGGGAGGTTTGGGGAAGGGATGGATAGTGAAGAGGTGGGGAAGAGGGCAGTTTTTGGGCCATGCAGCAAGGCGGGGCCAGAAATCTGCAGAGGGCTTGTGAGCACTACGCCACCATGAAGAATGGTGCTTGCACAGCCCATTTTGGTGACTACACAGCGATACAGGCACTTGTTTTTGCTCTGTTGAGAGCTCCGCCTCGTGC